AGTGTAGCAAAACCTTAGGGAAAATATATTTATTTTCTGTAAGAAATTTAGAAAACACACAGCTCTAGTGATCCAAAGTTTACTGATTGGCCTGGCATCACCACTGGCAACCCAGCTCCTGTCCCCTGGGAACCCTCACTGTGTCTGGCAACTAGCAGCTTTGGGAGTTTTGTGTTTAAGTGGGTTTTCTGCTTATATTTTCACTGCAGCTTCTCTTTGCTAAAGGTCATGATCATAAAATCCAATAGTGACATGTGAGGAGTTTCAGACTTGGTTTATGGGTCTATCCAGCCGATTTCTTGGGCTTCCCTCAGTGGTAGTAAGTTGCAGAGTGAGCAAATTTCATTACTATTAAATCAGATTTAGTGGCTATAGTAATGTTATGTCTTCATCAGAGGAGCCTGCCAGGAGGGAAGGAGTCTGTTCCCCAGGCCTGGTTCTGTCTGTGCCATGTGGCCCTCCACACTCTTTCTGTATGAGCAGGGGTCTGTCTCGCCATGTGTCCCTTCCCTAAAGCTGACCCTTTCTTCTCTCACCACCTCTACCTTCCAGAAACAGTACACTGAAGAAAATACAAAACTCTAGAGACAGCATAGGAGTGTCATTTCAAGCTCTGCATCTAGAACTTGGAGCTGACACCCTCATCACACATGAGCTTGGAGGCGGAAGTGACCGTGTCATGAAATGCTTTGTGTCTCTCACAGGCCTTCACCTATTGACATGATTATCTGGGTTTACTTCCTTTATTGGCAGAAGAAAATGAAAAGTATCTGTGAGCTGGTTTATCAGAGGAGGTGGTCCTACCCATTTGCTTCTCAAAAGTGCAGAACATTTTCATGCCAGTGTGACACAGGTGACAGCAGCATTGGCCCCTCTCAGGGGCAGGAGGATGCAAGGTGTCTGCAGAGTGGGCCTTGCTCAGTTGAGAACATGGGCTCTAGCTGCCCTGTGCCTGCTGGCTTCTCATTTCACACTTACCTGCTGTGCCAATTAGCTCAACAAATACTTATGGAGTATCTTTTATGAGGTAGGCTTAGTTTAGATGCTAGGAAGGCAATAAACAAAACCCAAATCTCTGCCCAAGTAGACCTTGCACTCTAGTAGTGCAGACGGACGTCAAGGAAGGTAAGTCTGTTAGCTAGTGTGTACTTCATGAACACTAAGAGCCAGAGGCATTGTAGGACACAAGGAAATCATGCATTCTCAATTTATTTCTTAAACACAACACACACAGATGACCATCTTACTTCCTTGAGCTCTCATTGGGAAATGTCTAGGAGGGAAAAGTATTTTCAAATATTAACCATGAAAAAGCAGCTTTGATTGGTAGATGAATAAATAGTAGCGTATTATTTCTTCCTCTCTTTTCTCTGAACTCTGTTTCCAGCTGTTTCCTGTTTTGGACTAATCTTAAATTCTGAGGCTAGAGGGCAGGGGGTCCATTTATATCATCTGAGTTTAGGTATCATGTTGGTTACAAATGCTTGCGGTTAAATTGTATCTTTAGCATCAGATAAAAGTTATTCTCCGCTGATGTTAAGAGTTGGCTATAGAAGGTTTTCTTTCTTCCCTCAAGGCCAGTCAGCAACATTTTACTGGATTAAGCACCAGGAATACAAGGCCAAATTTGTGTTTTTGTGTGCTTCATTTGCATACATCCACACTGAAAGCTTAGCATTGTAAGAGTCAACATTGCAGACAAACTTAAATACTCTGCTTAGTATCTGAACAAGAAGTGTTATATTTCTCTTTGGACTTAAAACTCTAAATCATTTAATGACTCAGAAAGCTGCAGGTTCCCATGCTTTGGGAAGTCCCCTGGGCTACTAAGTAAGATTCTGCAGGCAATGAGGAAGCCAGTGTTTTCTGCAGCTACAGCTCAAAGCTCTCCTCACTGAGTGGCTGCATTTTCTTATTGATGCAGAAACAGTAGCCTTTTGGTTTGTGGACGTCTTTGAGAAGTCATGAATATCTAAAAACATGTGTTTGAACCGTTCCTGAGTATTTGGAGTGACAGAATCACTTGCACAACATTTATTTTTCAATGATTTGAGGACCTAGGTTTCCTGACCATATTTTCCAACTGTACAAGTCTTAAGAAGATTGTAAATGAAAAATGAGAGTTTAAAATGAAAAATCCAAGTTTAAAAAATAGTGGGTTAGCTGGAAACATAGGTAGAAATTGAGATATGGATAAATAGAATGTCTGTTTTTATAAAAAACACTTGTGTTAGTGACCTCATGTTGAATTTGAGCCACCTGTGTCAGGTATTTAAAAATTAATATGCTCTTAATTTACATGATTAAATATAGAGTTGAGGTCAAGGGTCTGGATACCCATATTCTGCTCTGGGCAGATACCATGGGAATGTGGGGGTCCGTTTGGTAATCTGGGAAAGGCTTCAAAGAGGATGGGGTGGGGGGATGGGGAGAGTATTTGGGAATTTGAAGAGCTGTCATTGAATGACAAACTAGATTTATTCTGGGCACTTTAAAGGGCTGAGCTAGGACTAAGGGGTGGAATTTGAAGATCTGCAAATCTTGGTCCAATTTTAGGTAGACTCTTTCCCTATTAAATGACAAATAAAGAGGCAGCCCCATGGATGACCTCTGGCAGTGTGACGTTTAAGCAGTGGCAGGACTGCTATGGGCTGGAATGTGGCAGCCGACTCCAGAACCCCAGGGAGGCTGCACTGCCTGACCTTGGAAGATCCCTTCCACCTCAAGGTTTATGGCCTTGACAGAGTAAATAGGAAGGGGATCAAGCTCTGAGATTTACCTGGATGAAATTCTTTATCAGAAGCCTCTCCTATGGACTTAGCAGCAAGAGTGTGGGACCCACCAGACCCTGCTCCAGCTCTTGGGCACATGATCCAGGCCCCTTGGATGAGGACCCTTGGTCTTCCAGGGAACACATGGTCAGCCTTGGCCTGGTCTCTAGACCCTCTCTCAAGGCTGTAGTTCAGCTGTCCAGTTCCAATGGCTGGGCGACTTCTCCTCTCGTAGAGAAAACCCACTCATTCCCTTCTGCCTCAATCCTCCTACCCACAGCCAACTTGTCCAGGAAGCTCTCCCTGCTACCCTCAGTGACCATACCAGCAAGTGGAGGTGCTCAAAGCCCTGCACACCTTCACACGTGCCTCCTTTTCCCCAGTCAGAGCTGTGCTCCTGGAGAACCCTTTCTCTCTCACTTCCTTTGTCCAATGCCAACACCCCACTTACCCCCATGGGCTAGAATGGGATTTTTAACATCTTAGGAATTCATGGAAGTTAGGTAGTTTTTGTCATTTTAGAAAATGATTTCAAACAAAGATTTCTGGGAGTTTCCATCTAATAGGAAAGAGAATACCTACTGAATCTTCAGCAAAGGCTCTGGTGCGTCCTGCTTCTCATTAATATTTTTTAAAGATACGGCCCTGGATTCTAGAGTTTGGTGTTAGGGGCTGTCAGAGGGAGTTCTTTGTTTTATCCTAAATTTAGCGACGGGTGAGGGTGGCGCCTTTGTCCCCTCCTTCTGAAAGCTTTAAGGAAAAAAGATGAAATCCAGCAGAAGAGGCACGCTGGGGCCAGCCTGGGCAGGAGTCTCTGGCGGCGGGGCGAACTGCAGGCTGAACTTGTGATTTGGTTCTCAACTCGTCTCTTTTGCAGAATGGCTCTGAGAAGAAACAAAGGCCTTCTTGAGGTCCCTGCCTGAGATGGGGATCGTTCATTTTCATTCCACTGTGGTTTCTTGGGCAGCCTCTAACTGAGCTCATTTTCGTTCCACTGTGGTTTCTTGGGCGGCCTCTAGCTGAGCTTCGCTGTTCTTGGGAGCTCTTTCCTTCACTACCCTTTGATCACAGAGGAACTATGCAAACACACTTGTAAGGGGCCTTGCCGAGAGCAAGGAGCGCAAAGGAGGGTCTGATTGCTGGCCGCCTGCGGGGCAGGGCTGCCCTGGTGGGGCCTCCTGGAGCAATGCAGCCGGCAGTGGAGCCCGGCTGGTGGCCCGCCCCAACCCACAGGGAAGGAGCCTTGGTTTCCCCTACTGTTATGTTCTGTATTAGTTCTTTTTATTGCAAACAGTGAAGATCAAACCACGTACAGCAAACGTGGGAAAATGACTGGATAATGCAATTGTTAAGTCCGGATTCAGCCAAACAACCTTGGCATTGCCTCCACTGTCACCACTTCCAGCCCCAAAGGGACAACTGGGCAGCTCTTGTGTTCTTCGGGCTTTCTCAGAGTTGAGTATCATTAGCTCTGATTGGGCTGGGTTGGATCATGTGTCAACGCCAAGCCAATCAGCTTGCCCAGAGGGATGCTGCACTCTGATTGGGGGACCAAACCTCGCGATAGGTCCGAGTGTGGTGAGTGGGGTGGCCACGCCCATGCCACGTGGTTGTGGATTTGGGTGTGGGCGGCTGGCCGCAGCTGCGGGCACCCTGCCTTCTGTTCCCTGAGTCCATTCAGCCTGGGGAGAAACTTGGGGTGTTTGCTCTACCCGCCAGTGCTGCCTCGGGGCTGCAGGAAGGTGGCTGTCCCGGCTGTCGCCTTTCCTCTGGATTCACTGTGGCTTCCAAGAGTTGGGGTCTGTCCTACCTGGGCCTGGGATTCTCGCCTGTGTTTGTTCAGAAAACTGGGCCTACCCTTTCCCCACTAAATGTGTTACTTTTGAGATTTGTCTTTCGGTGGTGAACGTTTTGTGAGGTTGTGGGAATACGATGACCTGGTGCTTCGAATACGAGTGGTTTCTCTGAAACCCTGCTCTAAATGGACACAGTACAGCCATATAACCTGAGCAGTGTGACAGTGAATCTCTGTCAATACCAATCTACAACTGTTAAAAACATTTCTTTCTGCAAAAGAACTTTCCACGCAACAAGTATTCAAATGTCTGTTATCCTCCCTGCTCTGGGCTAGGTGTACAGCACATGCAGTTTCCAGAATTGTTCACCCCAAACTATTCTGCGTTTTGGCCCTCCCCCGTCTCTGATGGCCTTCTCTTCCCTGTACCGCAGGGAGCTGCTGGAGACCACATGCCGCCTGGCCAACACGCTGAAGAGGCATGGAATCCGCCGAGGGGACCGTGTGGCCATCTACATGCCTGTGTCCCCACTGGCTGTGGCATCAATGCTGGCCTGTGCTAGGATCGGAGCTGTCCACACAGTCATCTTTGCTGGCTTCAGTGCACAGTCCTTGGCTGGCAGAATCAATGATGGTGAGCAGGGGATGGGGGAGGGAGGAACCTGGGAGTCCCCTGGTCCTTGTTGCTGGGGGCCTGGCCGTTAGGGTGGAGACCGTCAGAGTGGAGACAGACATTAAAAGTCACACAGACAAATGACAGATGCTACTAGGGACAGGCATGTGGCTGAATGAACGTTTATTCTGTGGGCTGAGATCTGAGTGCATTGGACTTAGCCAGGTGAAAAAGGGGAGGGGAGGGTTCTAGGTGGAGGGAACAGCAGAGGTCCAGGCCAACTGGTAGGGAGGAGGCTGGCATGGTGCAGTGCAGGAGGAAAGGAGTGTGCAGGGTGTGATGAGGCTGGAGGTGAATGGAAGGTTCCATAGGTTAGCAGTTGGAATCCTTCTATTATGAGGAATTAAGAGGTTGACCATCTTCAGGGGCCTGGCGTCAGGTGAAGGGAACGTGTGGTATATCTTTAAGGATTTGTGTCTGCAGGCGGGTCAGTGTCTCCTGGACAGTGTGTAGAACGGTAGTCTCTTCTTGCTTTTGCTGATGCCAGAGGGCCAAGTGTCTTATTGGTGGATGGTCCCATATCCGTGCAGAGAGAGCTTCCTACTCTTTCCTAGAGAGAGCCCCCTGAACTGGCTTCCCAAGGAAGGCGCCAGGTTCTGGAGGCCATTGAGAGGTCTTGTGTCTCATAGAAGACTGCCTGTGGGTGGTAAGCAGCTAATGGGCTGAGTTCTCAGACCCCTGGTGAGCACCCTCTGAAAAAAAGGCTAGAAAGCCCTTCCTCTCCCTTTCAGGGTTTCTCCCTCCACTTTGAAGGGTTGAGGCTGCCATGCCTTCTCTCTCTTCCTCTCTTTAAACCCTTGTAACATCTACTGTGTGCCAGACACTGTTCTAAGCACTTTGCAAAGGTTGTATCTCCTTTAATTTGCTTTAGTCCTTATAAGTATTATGAGAGATAATACTCATATTATTCCTCTCCCCCTTTTAAGGGTACCACTGTAACCATTTTAAAGTGTATAGTTCAGTGGCATTAAGTACATTCACAATGTTTTGCAACCATCATGACTATCTAGTTCCAGAACTTTTTCATCACCCCTGATGGATGCCTTATACCCATTAAGCAGACATTCCCCATTCATCCGTGTTGTGCCATATATCAGCACTTAATTTTTTATAGCTGAATAATATTGCACTACATGGATATGCTGTATTTTGTTTACCCATTAATCAGTTGATGGCCATTTGGGTTATTTTCACATTTTGGCTATTGTAAGTAGAGGTGCTATTACAGGGACGCTCACTTTCAATTTTTTTGGTATATACCTAAGAAGTGGAATTGCTGGCTCATGTGACAATTCCATGTTTAACTTACTGAGGAACTGCAAAACTGTTTTTTAAAGGAGTTGCACCATTTTACATTCCCACTAGCAAAGTATGAGGGCTCCAGTTTCTCTGCATTCTCATCGGCACTTGTGATTTTTCATTTAAAAAAAAATTACAGCTATCATATTGAGAATGAAGTGGTATCTTATTGTGGTTTTGATTTGCATTTCCCTAATGACTAATATCCTTGAACATCTTTAATGTGCTTGTTGGCCATTTGTACGTTTTCTTTGTAAAGGTATCTACTAAAGCTCTTTGTTCATTTTTTGATTGGTTGTTTGCCTTTTCATTGATGAGAGGTAAGAGTTCCTTATATATTCTGAAAATTAGAACTTTACTAGATATATGATTTGCAGATATTTTCTCCCATTCTGTACATTGTTTTTTCACTTTCTCTGTAGTATCCTGTGTGCACAAAAGTTTTAAATTTTGATGAAGTCCAATTTATCTACTTTTTCTTTCATTTCCTGTGCTTTTGCTGTATTGTTTGAGAAAGCACTGCCAAATCCAATGTTGTGAAGATTTGCTCCTATATTTTCTTCTAAGGATTTTATAATTTTAGCTTTTAAAAATTACATTTAGTCTTTGACATTATACATTTCCAGTTAATTTTTGTATAGTGTGTGACGTAAGGGTCCAGTTTCATTCCTTGTCCTGTGGATACCCAGTGGTCCCAGCACCATTTGTTGAAGAAACAACTTTGAATAGTCTCCCATTGAGTATCTTGGCATCTTTGTTGAAAATACTTTGACCACATGTGTAAGGGCTTATTTCTGTGCTCTCTATTCTGTTCCATTTATCTATATGTTTATCTGTATGTCTACTCTCACCTCAGTGCCAAACTGTTTTGACACTAGCTTTTGTAGTACGTTTTGAAATGGAGAAGTGTGAGTCTTCCAGCTTTGTTCTCTTTTTTCAAGATTGTTTTGGCTGTTCTGGGTCCCTTGCATTTTCATGTGAATTTTAGGATGGGCTTTTCTATTCTTCAAAAAATAAAACAGGCAGCTGGGATTTTGATTGCATTGAATCTTTAGAAAATTTGGATGATATTACCATATTAATATTAATCCATGAACATGGAATATCTTTCCATGTATTTAGGTCTTGCAGAAATTTCTTTCAGTGGTGTTTTATAGTATTTAGTGTACAAGTCTCACATGTCCTGAAATTTATTCCTAAATATTTCATTCTTTTTGAAGCTTTTGTAAATGGAATTGTTTTCTTCATTTCTTTTGCAAATTGTTCATCGCTAGTGTAGAGAAATACAACTAATTTTTGCATGGTGGTCCTACAAATTTGATGGATGATTTATTAGTTTTAATAGGGTTTTTTTGTGGTTCACTTAAGATTTTGTATGCATTAGGTCATGTCATCTGTGAGTAAAGATAGTTTTGCTTCTTCCTTTTCAATTTGGATGCTTTCAATTTCTTTTTCTTGCCTAATTGCTCTGGCTAGAACTTCTGTAACAATGTTGAATTGCAGTGGTAAAAGTGGGCATCCTTGTCTCATCCCTGATCTTAGGGAGAAAGCATCAGTCTTTCATCATTGAGTATGACTTTAGCTATGGACTTTCATAGATGCCCTTGATCAGGTTAAGTTCCCTTCTATTCCTAGTTTGTTAAGTGTTTTTATCATGAAAGGGTGTTGAATTTTGTTAAATACTTTTTCTGCACCAGTTGAGATGTACTTTTTCCCCTTCATTCTGTTAGTATGGTGTATTATGGTGATGGAATTTTGCATGTTGAACTACCCTTGCTTCCTGGGGTAAATCCACTTTGTCATAGTGTGTGATCTTGTTAACGTGCTGCTGGATACAATTTGCTAGCATTTTGTTGAGGATTTTTGCATCATTGTGTATAAAAGATTTTGGTTTGTAGTTTTCTTTTCTTGTAGTATCTTTGTCTGACTTTAGTATCAGGGTAATTGCTGGCCTCATAAAATGAATTTGAATCTTCTCCTTTAATTTTTTTGCAAGAGTTTCAAAGGAATTGATGTTAATTCTTCTTCCAATGTTTGGTAGAATTCACCAGTGAAGCCATCTAGTTCTGATCTTTTCTTTGTTGGGAAGTTACCATTCCCTTGTTAAGATGAGGAAACTGAGGTACAGAGAGGTTAAGTGACTCATCCAAGGTCACAGAGCTAGTAGGTGAGAGAGCCAGGATTTGAACGCAGGCATTCTGCGTTCATGCTTTTAGCATTACTCTAGGCTGCCCCTCTTCTCTCTTGCTGGCATGGCCGTGGTTACCAGGTGTTTCTGTTAAGATTCTTTGAAACAAGCAACAGCAGTTAACTCTGGGTGACTCAGGCATATGGGGTTTAGTAGCTGGTTGCTGCGGCAGCTCCCAGAACCTCAGGGCTCCTAAACAGCCAGGCCCTGGGAGGGGCTGGGCCAGCTCTGAGGACCTCAGCAGGGACACACGTGTAATGCATCTCTAAGACTTGGTCATGAAGAGGACTTTGCCCTGACACCCTTCAGCCTCCATCTGCAACTCTTCAGGTGCCAAGTTGCTGGGGGCAAGACTCTGTTGAGATGGGGTCTGTGTCCTCTTGGGTCAATGAGGGGCCGTTTGGGGTATCTGTTGCTGTGTAACAAAACTACTCCAAAACTCAGTGCATAAAACAACAGCTAAAAACAGTAAATTATATCATTATATTTCATGATTCTGTGGGGCAGGAATCAGATGGGCACAGGGGCATGGCTGTTCGCTGCTCCCTGGCGTCTGGGACCTTAGCTGGGTTGACTTGAATGGTTGAGGGCTGGCTTAGAGAGGCATCTCTCTCTCTTCACGTGGCTTCTCCATATAGCTAACTTGGGCTTCCTTACAGCAAGGCTGCCTCCTGCAGGCAGGCTGTTGCGTGGTGGCTCATGGTTCCAAGAGAAAGAAGTAGAAACTGCCAGTTGTCCTAAAGCCCAGGCCCAGAATACCCAGAGCATCACTTTTGCTAAGCTGCATTGGTCACACCAGTCCCTGGCCATTCCACATTCAGGAGGAGGGGACCTGGATCCCACTGCTTCATGAGAGCAGGTGAAAGAATGTGCAGCTGCCTTCAGTGTGGACATGACCGTCAGGCTGTCACTGTGAGCTGGCGGCCACCTCAGTGAGTATGTGCTGTTGCAGGATTCCAGCCCTGACCTGGCTGCTGGGCTCTGACCGTCTACCCTCCTTTTGTCTTCCCTCTTGCTTTAGGCTGAGTGAGGAGTGGAGAGAGAGGGAGGCATGGTGGGGAGGGTAGAGGTCAGGAGAGTGGCTTTGAGAGATGTTCTCGGGGCAGGTAATGACCCCCTCAGATGGCCATGCCCGAATCCCCTGGAACCTGTGGGCTGTTGCCTTGCATGGTGAAAGGACTCTGCAGATGAAAAGAGATGGACCTTAAAATGGTGAGCGGAGCCTGGACATCCAGGTGGGCCCCATCTAATCACATAGCCCTTAAAAGCACAGAACTTTCTCTGACTGGAGACGAGGACATGAGGCAGAAGGGGAGGTCAGAGAGATGCAAAGCATGGGAAGGACTTGACCCACTGTGGCTGGCTTTGAAGATAGAGGGGACCACAAACCAGGAGCGGTGACTCTAGATGCTGAGAGCGGCACTGGCTGACAGCAAGGGAAGGAGGACCTTGGTCCTGCAGTCTCGTGGGCCTGAGTTCGGCCACCCACCAGCTCCCCCAGAACTCCAGATGGGGCCCAGCCCTCTGACACCTCAATTTTGGCCATGTGAGACTCCAGGAAGAAACCCCTGCTGAGCCCACCTGGACTACAGAACTGTGAGCTAAAGATAGGTGCTCTGAGCCTCTGAGTTTGTGGTCATTTATTACGGAAGCAACAGAAAACAAACTCAGATGTTGGTACCTGCTCAAAACCAGGGAGGGAAGATCATATCCTCCCAGGCGCAGTGGCACGCAGTTCCTGCCTGCGTCCATGCTGTCGCCTAGCCTTGGAGGACACCAGTGGGTAAGATGTGCTCATGGTGCTTGGATGCTCCCAGAGTACCTCCTGGGGGCCTGCCCTGGAGAACCTCTTGGGTGGGGAGGCCTTGGACAGATGTGCGCCAGGAGCAAGGTGTGTGCCATGGAGATGGGGAAGGCGCTGCCCCCTGTGTAAGGCGATTTCATCATGTTGCACATGATGCTGGGATCACTGCTTTTTCTGTGGTGGGTCCTGACCCCTGTGAGCTTCCTTTGTATCTCCTCCCCTTGAGGAAGGTTCATTTCTACCTGCTGGATCATCCCCCTTCCTTGACCGCAGGGAGCTCACTGGGACCAAACCCAGTGGGGGCATGGAGGCCTGGCGAGCCTCTGATGGGCTTCACCCGACTGACTTGGTTTCTCTAAGTCCTGAAGGGCAAAGAGTGTGTGTGGCCAGGGCCCCTGGGGATGTCCTTGATGTCCCAGGCAGGGATGGCTGTGCCTGGACAGGTCTAGGGTATCTCTGTGGCCCTGCTGGTGCTCCAGCTGCAAAGGCCTGTGCTGGGGCCCTCAAGGCCGTGACATCGCTGGGGCTCTTAAGAGGAAGAAGGAGTGTAGGCATGTTGCTCAAAAGTGCTTTGAGACTGGCTGAGGGAGACTGGTGCCTTAGTTAGGGCCACCCCAGAGAGACCCTGATGAGCATGATCTTGGAAGCTCTGGAGGGCAGTGGGGAGTGAGGCCACAGGAAGTGACCAGAACTTAGTCCACAGAGAACCTGGGCGATAGTGTAGCACACCTGCTCAGGTGACTGCACACGAGGGGCAGGGAGTAGGAGTATTTATACCCCGACTCTTGAGAGCCTCTGGGTAATACTCCAGCACCTCTTCCCATGGCTCTGGAAGAGGCTCTTGGTGCAGAATGATTGAAAGGCCCAAGGGACATGAGTGAGGCCCTGCCACTCAGTGCTACAGCTGGATATCTGTCCCAGGCACTTCCCGGAGGCTGACTCTGAAAATCCCCATAGCCTTGACCCCTCTGGGTCATCCACATTAGGGCACAGTGTGGGCAGTAGCCCCTTTGCCTGTGGCCCTGAGGTCCAGTGTGTATGTGCCCCTCATTCCCTGCTCTGGGCCTCACCCACGGTTAGCCGCGGAAGCTCAGGTCCCCCAGCTTGACCACCCTGGGCTGGTCATTGAAGAGCCGGCATGGAGCCAGGGTGCCCTTTCCTGAAGGTTAGGATGAGGCAGGTGGCTCCTGGGTGTCCCCTGGGGCATGCACTGATCTCCGGATAGTGAAGGTTGTTGGCCCACACAGCTCACCCTGGAAGGGCCTGGCTACATGGGACTGTTGGGGCTTGGCCTCTGGTTGTCCAGCTTTCTTGGTCTCTGCTTCTTGGTGTTGTTCTGCCACTGTGGTTGCTGTGGGTGGTGTGATAGCCCCTCGCCTGTGGAAGGCTCCCGGGAGATGGGAGGGAAAGGTAGCAGTTTGGCTGGGAAATTGTCTTTGTGCTGCTGGCCCCAGGAGGGAGAGTTGAGCCAAGTAATTTATCTCCCGTTATCCTCAGAGCTGGGGAAAGGCCTGGTGCTTCTGCACAGCACACAAGGGCTGCAAAGCAGGTAGACCCTCACTTTTATTGTTGGCTCTTTTACTCCAGATTGGACTTTCTCTATCACACTCTTAGGCCTGGAACATGCAGCTGTAAGTCCGAGGTGTGAGGGTCAGATGGGGAGGAAACTGATCAGAAATGTGTTGTCTCTGTCAGCCAAGTGCAAGGTGGTCATCACCTTCAACCAAGCACTGCGGGGAGGGCGTGTGTTGGAACTGAAGAGGATCGTGGATGAAGCCGTGAAGAGCTGCCCCTCCGTCCGTTACGTCCTGGTGGCTCAAAGGACGGACAACAGGGTCTACATGGGGGATCGGGACATACCTCTTGAGCAGGTGGGTTTTGTACCTCGTTTGTACGGTTTGAAAAAGAGAGATTATTATTAGGTGAATTGGGTCTGGGGCATGTTGTATTGTGATTCTCAATCTGGGTTCCCTAGAGGTGCCCAGGGTTCCCTTGTGATATTTGACAAGCTTAAGTCCTGATTGGGAAGATAGAACTCAAATACCACAAGAATATTGGGACACTTAATGTAACAAACGATTGTGTCCATCCCTTGATATCTTTTCCACATTTGGAATTGAACGTGGGCAGGCCAGAGAAGGCGAACTCTGAATCCTGTGTGTTGAATCCTGCAACAGCTAGGGGAGTGGTGTCCCCAGGGTTTGGGGATTGAAGAGGGGAGGCTCAGTGCCCTGGATGGGCCGTTTGTTTCTTGCTTCCAGGAAATGGACAAAGAGGCCCCTGTGTGCGCCCCAGAGAGCATGGGCAGTGAGGACGTGCTCTTCATGCTGTACACTTCGGGGAGCACCGGGATGCCCAAGGGGCTCGTCCACACCCAGGCGGGCTACCTGCTGTATGCCGCCATGACTCACAAGGTGCGCTATCCTGTTGGTGGTGCCATGCCACCATGGGGCTCTGGGCAGGGGCAGGGCAGATACAGAAAACCACCCAAATCAAATGAATGGCTTAATGAGTTATTATGAGGCAGATGCCACTTTGGTCAAGAATTGGAATGCCACAGCCTCTCGGAAGCCCCCTCTGTGGCTGTCTGGCCACAGCCCCCACCTCCACGTCCTGTCTTGTTTAGTTTTGTTTTTTTTAATAGTTTTGTCACTCAACTGTGCATCCTTGGACGTCACAGCTTACTGTTGCACGTTAAAATATTTTCGATGTCTGTTAAGTCTTTTTTAACCTATGGGCCCCCTCCCTCCCTTTCATTGCCTTAACCCTGGCTGTTGTAGTGTCTGGCTGTTTGTCCCTGGTATCCCATGTCCTGGCTCAAGTCAGTTGTCCCCCTGTCCTCTGTGTTTCCTGCTAACAGGCTGTGTTGGATTCTGAGATGGAATCAGGCTCAGGTTGGACCCTGTGGCAAGAATGCAGGAGATGCAGATGTCTCTCTTCTCATGCTCTTTGAAGCTAATGACGTTTGATGCAATTCTTGCCCTTTTTGGCTTTTTTTTTTTTGTAGTTTTTAAGGGATTTTTTTTTTTTAATTGTGGCATTAGGTAATGCAGAAAAGTGCCCATATCTTAAACATACAACTAGATGAAGTTTCCCTCCGATGTACCTCTGTGACTTCCCACCTGCATGTCTTCAGCCCCAGAAAGCTCTGCCTGCCCCTTGCAGGCTCACCCCAGCTTGAGCTCCCTTGTGTAGATTGGCTGTGTCTGGTTGTGAGCTTCCCTCCGTGGGCTCGTCCAGCACACGTTCTCTTGTCTGGTTCATCCTGCCTTTCCGCTGCAGCGTGTGGCATGAAGCCCCCGCGGCACACGCACTCACCCCGCTGCTGGTGGCTACACATGCCTGCCCATTTCCTAGTGAGGTGTGGGAGCGTGGCGGGGCGTGAGGACAGGCTCCTCACAACTCCCTCCTGTGTCTACAGCTTGTGTTTGACCACAAGCCAGGCGACATCTTTGGCTGTGTGGCCGACATCGGCTGGATCACAGGACACAGCTATGTGGTGTACGGACCCCTGTGCAACGGAGCTACCAGCGTCCTTTTTGAGAGTACACCGGTTTACCCTGATGCTGGTGAGGACCCAGGACCATGTTTGGGACCCTGTGCTGGGTGTCGGGGAGGGAGATTGAGGCTTGAGAGGTTCACAGGAGGGTGGCGGCCTGGGCTCTGGGGAGGGTGTGGTTCTTGTGGTCCATTGACTGGATGCTGAGTTGACGCTGCGGCTACTGGGTGGACTGGGGGGTGCCACGTCCGCAGGAAGGTCAGACGAGCAGTAGTAGGGAATCCGACCTGGAGCCAGGAGACATCTCAAGCATTCCTGTCCTCTTCCAGCATTCCTGTCCCTCTAACTGAAGCTGCCTGCCTTGGGCCATCACCTTAGCATTGTCTGTCTCACCCATAGAGCCACCTGACCAGATCCAGCCTTTCCTTGAAGCCAGGGCCAGCCGCCCACCTGCTCCACTTCCCCAGCCCTGCTGCCTGCGCCTCTGGGGCTGTCCCCCCGGACCACATTGTGTGTGGCCTGGAGCCACCTCCATTAAATTGAGATCATTCTGAGGACAGGGGCATGTCTTGTTCCCTTGGCATCTTCATCCCACACAGCACAGTGTTCCCAAATATTTGTTTCAATGTAATTGAATGACAGTGGCTCTGCCCAAGGGCTCTTGCTAGAGCATTCCACATCACTGACAATTGTGCCTGAGCTTCATGGTCACCTCCCCTTGCCCCATCCATCCATTTGGTGGCTAGATGTGCTTGAGGAAGAAGGTGTGGGGGCAAAGCTAGGAGTTAAGGGCCACAGCTCGGGTGTGGTCTCAGCTACCACTTCAGCAACGGGGAAGTCAGCATCCTGTGCAGAGGGAATGGTGTGAGGTGTGGGGGTTTATGGGAATCAAGGCTAGGCATGCTGGGCATGTGGCCCTGCTCCATGGGACATGCACAGTGGTGGTGACACTGTCACCAGGGGAAGCACCAATTAGCACTTTAGAGGTTGTTTAAATGTGACTTGAGTGAAAGTTCAATGTTAATGCCACATGGGTTATTTTTTAAATTCAGTAATATCCCTCCGAACTAATTCCTCGCTAGGTCATGTGGGTCACACCATGTAGATGCAGTCATCCAAAGCCAGGTGAAGACTGCTCCCAAATGTGCTGATGCCTATGGATTGGGGGAGCGCTGGGCGGAGAGCTGCCATCAGAAACCCCGCGCCAGGGGCTACCTTCCATCTTTCACTGACAGGTGGAGCCCCTTTCTATGAACACGGACAGATGTCTGCACACACCCAGCGCTCAGGAACTCCTGGCTTATCTCCAGATAAGTCTGAGGTAGATCATGTTGGTGGGCTTTGCCGCTGACAGTGAATTTGGGCCTTTTCATAGGTCGGTATTGGGAGACGGTGCAGAGATTAAAGATCAACCAGTTCTATGGTGCCCCGACGGCTGTCCGGCTGTTGCTGAAATACGGCGATGCCTGGGTGAAGAAGTACGATCGCTCCTCCCTGCGGACCCTGGGGTCAGGTGAGCGGCCCGCTCTGCGGCAGGAGGAGGTATGCCTGCCGTGGTCGGCCAGCACGTGTACATGGTGGAGAATTCACACAACGCCAGACCTGGGCTGGTAGAAAGCAGATGTTCCCACCTGTAAACCCCACCCTGGAGCCAGCAGCTGTTACCAGTCAGGGGAACATCATTCTAGATGTTTTCTGTGCCAGTGTTTCTGTGCCCACGTTCTGTAGCTTAACCTTTATTGTGAGTACTTCCCAACTCGGTAGGTTCAGGGCCAAGTCATTTGTTCAATGGCTGTGTGGGATTTAACTGTGTAGCTGTAACTTACTACACATTCCCCCATTGCTGATGTTCTGGTTTTTCCCTGGTTTGTTATAAACACCATCCTGCACTTGTGCATAGCTCTTCCTGTAGACATCTCCAGGCAGAGAGTTCAAAGGTTCTGTAATTTCGATAGATAGTGCCAAGTCACGTGGAAGTGTTTTGGAAAGGTGAGGGTGGGAGTGGAATGTACATGTTCTTCGGGCCCCTGCTGGGAGGGGCTGGGCTCCGTGGGCTGCTGTTTGTCTCTCTCCTTTCCCTGCCATGTTTCATTTCTGCCTTAACACACATCGTGTGTGGTCAGCAGGGAACAGAAGGGTGGGGGCTCCTCCATGCTCCTTGGGAGAATGCACCACCTGCTTGGTGTTTTTCCACAGGGGAAGCATGCAGGGTGGTGACCGTTTCTGCCTAATGCATCCTTAGGAAAGGGGGCGCGGTGAGCGTGTGCTTCGTTACTAGTGGGTGACCAATCGCAAGGCTGTCCAGGTGCGGGCTGAGAAGCAGCACTGCTGCGGCCGTGCCCCGCACAGCCCACCACTTGCTCCCAAGCGTGAGATGGGCTGGGACCAGGCCTGTGGGGTGGTGAGGACGACACAGAGGATCTGCGTGTAGCCATGAATTAAGGTGCAGGCGTGGAAGTGAGGATCAGTGGGAGAGCCCCCGCACATGGGGACACCCAGAGACTCGCCTTCTCCTCTTGGCCTCTTACTTTTGCCTTAACAGTAAAAACCTTCTCTGTTTCTCAAAGAACTTTCTAGATTAAAAAAAGGGGAGGGGTTTGAATACCATTAATAAGAGCTAATATTTACTAAATGCCTGTGTCTTCACATCAACCCTGTGAGCTAAGCACTAATGTTGCCCCCACATCACAGAGGAGGAAACTGAGGCACAGGGAGGTCAACGGATTTACCCAGGTCACTCAGCGAGTAGGTAGGGGGCCCTATGTTGAGCCCAGTGCCTGGCCCCAGAGTCGGTAAACCTCACTCACCTCTGCCCCCACCCCCAGCACCCCATTGCGTCTTGGGGCTCTGGTCCGCACCACTTCTCCCGCCTGCAGTGGCTCACTGCCCTTGACCGCTCAGCCAGGGCACTGGGCTCCTTTCTAGAAGGTGGTGTCTTAGTCCGTTTTGTGCTGCTGTAACGGCATTTGAGACTGGGCATTTGTAGTGAACTTCTGGAGGCTGGGAAGTCCAATGTCAAGGTGTCGCTCGGCATCTGGCAAGGGCCTTCTTGCTGCATCATTCCATGGCACAAGGGCAAAGAGAGGGTGAGACAGAGCAAGAGGGGACCAAACTCACCCCTTTTACAACAGCACTAATCCCACCCATGAGGGGGAGCCCTTGTGGCCTAATGACCTCTGAATACTGTTGCAGTGGCAGGTTTCCACATGAGATTTCAGGGGATGAACGTCCACACCACAGCAGGTGGTGAGTCTGAGGCCTCTCTCTGCATGTTGGAGCCGTGGATGGCAAGGCCCCTGTGTTTCTGACTGCCCTGCCAGGCTCAGGGGACAGTGATCTGCCCTTGCACTCCGGGCCACACTGTGTTCAGGGACCAGGAACAAATGGGGGTGGCCAGGGCCATGGAAACTCTCCCAGGTCCTCCAGGTGTTATCTGCAAGGTCACCTGGAGTTAGGTGAGGACAGGGGTGAAGGGCGAGATTTGATTTTCCAGATGTACTCACGGGATTTGGTTGCTAAGGAAACTCACAGGGTCCAATGACAAGTGTATTTCCAGAAAGGATGTGCTCTGGTGACTGCATTGGAGTAGGGTTGTGCGTCCCTGCTGCTTCCTCACCCAGGGGTCCCTAGAGACCATGTGCAGGCTCCTGTTGTCCTCCCTGTGGAAGGTCTTTGGCCAGATGCATGTCTGTCTTAGATCAGGGACCACTGATGTGTGCACAGAATGCCTCTGAACCGATAGCCAGCCCCAGACAGAGGCTCAGCTGGGTTTTGCATCGTTAGCGGGTCTATAGGGACATTATAACTGCACGGCCAGCGCCAACCGCAGAGCCCTGTGGGAGACCAGGTGCAAATCACCGGTCTCACTGTTACCAGTACACGGCGCTGGCTGGCAGGTGTGGAGCCCCGAGACATCTCACACGTGGGTGCGGAGCGGTGCTGGGGATCAGCGTGCCTCATGCCCTGACTAGTCTGTTACCACAGGACCGCAGCTCAGGCCGATTCCAGGCTGCTGGATCAGCCCTCACCGCACACCAGGCTCTGGTACGCTGCCTTGGTTTAGTCCTACCAGTCGTCAGAATCCAGCTCACTCAAGACAGGATTTGTCATTCCCAGACAAGGTTTTTAAACCTTCAATTTCATGAGTAACACATAGATACATCCTTGTCGTAAAAAGAATAAGGACATCGCGATTCCAGCTGACATCCCCTTGGCCACTCCAGGGGACCCTAATTGCTCCTACACCGTCCGGCCTCTTCTATGCAGTTATGTTCCTTTGCTAGGTACGGGTCTATTCAGAGATGTTTGATTTCAAGTGAAAGTTACCACGCTGTGCTATTATCCTGTAATGTTTCTTTTGAGTCAACAATCTGCAGTTTTCCATATGTATCAGCCCTGGTTTTTGAAAACTCGCTCATACCTTACTGTGGGGATTTCCCTGGTTTGTGTAGACGTGTCCCTGAGGTTGGATGTGTGGCTGTCGGCTCTTTGGCAGCGTGTCCACCAGTGCTGCAGTGGGTGTCTTGCCCCTTCATGGATTCACAGGTGCAGGGCAACACACAAAACACTGAGCCACCTGCGTGACAGCCCTGGCCACGCAGCACAGACACGGGAGGCCCCTGCGTAGGAAAGGCGTAGGATTGTGAGTGGTCCTGAGCAAGAGGCCACCAGCACGAGAGTATTTCACTGTTTTGGCAACAGTATGTCTACACTGGTGAGTTCCGGCTGAATGCCAGCCCTCTGTGTGTTTGTCATTAGGGTACACACTGAGAAGTTGGGATGTAGAGTCCTAGGACATAAGCACGTCTTTTTCCTTTCAATAAGGTAGAAAATATGCTAAAATGTACAAATGTCAAGCACTCACCTTGAGGAACATTTACATACATGTAATGCCACCACCAGATCAAGCTGTAGAAATGCCAGTCCCCAGAGGCTCCCTCACGCCCCTCCCAGTCAGTCACCCCAGCCATGACCCCTGTGACCTCCTTCACCATGGACTGCTTCATGGATGGGGTCACACGGCATGTGCTTCCCTTGCTCTGTGTCATGACTGAGACTCATCTGTGCTGCTGTGGTAGCAGGGGTTTGCTTTCTTCATTGCTCTGCGGATTCCATTGCATGAGCACAGCATGATTCGTTTGCCCATTCCACTCTTGAGGGATGTGTGTAGTTTCTGGCCATCACGAACAGGGCAGCTGTGAGCATCCTTGTGCGTGTCTGCTTTCCGTGGTATCTGCCTCATTTCTGTGGAGTGTATGTCAGGAGTCATATTTTTGGGTAACAAGGTAAACATATGTTTGGCTTTAGTAGATTCTGCCTTGAACACTTGTCCAAAGTAGTTGTATTGGGTGTATCTACTTATAAATATTAACAGAAGCATCCAAATTGCTCCCCCAAATTGGTGTACCAAATTATACTCCTACTGTGTATATGAAATCCTTTTTTTCATTCTTGCCCACTGTTTGATTTTTGGTCACCTAATGGTGAGAATACCTTATTGTGATTTGTATTTCTTTGATGACCGTAAATATGGTGTGTCTCACTGCACTTTCAGGTCTCCTTGTGTGTCCTTGAGAAAAATCTTAGAGATGTTTTCCCCTTAAGATCTGTTCCTTTTGTTTCAGGTTTATTTGAAGTCTGTTAACATCTTTTTTCTTTCCTGTGTGATGTCAGTGGGAGAACCCATCAACTACGAGGCCTGGGAGTGGCTCTACAGGGTGGTGGGTGACAGCAGATGTACGCTGGTGGACACCTGGTGGCAGACAGGTGAGAACGTCTGCGGGAGGAGTCAAGACATGCCTGGGGAACGTGCGGAGGGTTGAGTGTGAGGCTGGGCCTGGGGTCTGAGCTCTCAGCAGCAAGTGCGAGTGAATACACTCGTGTTGGCATGAGGCTGCAGTAAACCTGGTATCTGGAGCGAGAGAGTGCCAAGGTCACCTGGCTGCCACTGCCAGCTGTCAGACGATGTGTCACGACTTCTGTGAGCCTTGGTTTCCTCCTTTGTGAGGTGGGAATGTTCCCCTGCGGGGTCTGGGAGAGGGTGAAATGAGGTGCTACAGCTATGGCGTGTTGCTCAAGGGCTGGCATGCAGGAGGAGCTTGGTGTTCGCTTCCCTGTTTAGGGGACCCTTTCTGACACAGGTGCATCTGATGAGGACAGACCCTATTTTCTAAGGGACCATGAGCCTAAGTTTAAATTTTAGTGGGAAAGGAATTTTTTCTGTAACATTTTGTTTGGGTTTGTCTCCCCTTCTCTTGGGTATGTGACTAACTAGGATGTTTAGGGCAAGAGACCACCAGTGGTATAATAAATGTAACTGTCTGAGGTCTCAGCCTTACAAAAGCCAGAAAGCGAGATGTTCTGATGGTGCAGTTCCCGTCTGTTTGGGAAGGCACAGGATGGAGTCCCTACAGCCGAGCCCCACGAGACATGTGCGTGCTACAGGCCGGGAGAGGCGCATGCTGGAGAGAACGCGGCGGCAGTGTGCGAGGGCCTGTCTTTGCGTCGTCGGGTCCCTGTCGAATGGGCACTGGCTCAGGGCAGTTCTTTTCTGCACGTGCCTGTGTAAGTGGGCGGACTCTGCTCTTTCCCACTCAAGCAAGGGCCCGACACTGCGAGGGGCTGCCTCCACATACTGTGGGACACCAGAGCTTCTGGGACTGAACCTGCCATGGGCGCCTCTTGTTTCTGCAGTGGAGGGGACAGGACCCACGTCTGGTTTGCCTCAGACAAAGGTCCTTGTGCCCCAGACAGGGACAGTCCCCCCCAGGCCACTCTGGGAGGGTGCCAGTGCCCTCTGACGGCAGGGCTGGATGAACGTGTAACTAGCTCCTAGGCCAATCAGTGTTTCCTCCTCATCCTCCCCACAGAAACCGGCGGCATCTGCATCGCACCGCGGCCCTCCGAAGAAGGGGCGGAAATCCTCCCTGCCATGGCGATGAGGCCCTTCTTTGGCATCGTCCCAGTCCTCATGGATGAGGAGGTGTGTGCCACAGGCCTCACAGGGGGTGCTCCCTGCACGGGCCCTGCATGCTCATCCTGCTCCCTCCCTGCCCCTCTCCCTGGGGCCTGGAGGGAGGCCCGGTGGCGTCCTCACGAGCATTCCCCACAGCCTCTCTCAGAGAAACACCTTGAGCAACATGCTGGTGTGGGGTGAGCCCAGGGCCCTCCGCAAGAGCCCTCGAGAGGCTCCTCCCCAAGGGCAAAGGCATAGACAGTTCAGTTCAGGGCACAGCTGCTTGCTTTCCGGCCTCAGGTCAAGCAGTTTGGAGAATGACTATTCTTACCCAGAACCTGCCCCTTCGCTCACATGTCTCCCTGCTCCGTAGGGAAATGTCGTGCAGGGCGGCAATGTCTCTGGGGCCCTGTGCATCTCCCAGGCCTGGCCAGGCATGGCCAGGACCATCTATGGTGACCACCAGAGATTCGTGGACGCCTACTTCAAGGCATATCCAGGTGAGCGGGCTAGCATGGATCCTCTCAGCCTTTTCCTTGACTGCTGGAATCACATTCTCAGAAAATGTTTCCAACTTTCCGGCAGCTGTGAGTGCAGTGTGGCACTGTGGAGGCCCGAGTCTGCCTCCGGCTCCCCTCCCTCTCCCTACCCCTCCTTGACTCTCCTTGTCTCTGACGTGGGAGCTCGTCCCACCTTGGCGCCCTCCTTGGGGCATGGGCATGAGGGTGAAGCTCTTCAGCACAGCGCCCGGCCCAGCTGGGCGTCCTGTTAGCTGTTAGGAAGGAAGGGCCACAAAGCCACCTTGGACAGCTGTCACGAAGGCTGGGAGTTCTTCCAGTTCACTTTTATTTTTCCCGGTCTGCTTTGTGTCGTTGGCTGGAAGTTTACGTAGACGCCGTCTCCTCTGCCTTGTTAGAACTGGCAGTTTTCAGTCTGAAGCCAGTAGATAAGACTCACTTTTGAGTGTCTCGAATGTGGGGCTTGTACCTTCTGCTCACCATCTTGATGTCTTCTGTTGTCTTGGAACCGCTAGAATGTAGCCAGATAGTGCTCTGTAGAGAAGCGTCTCCATTGGGAGCTGCAGGGGAACCCCAGCCAGGAATTGAGTGGGTGCTGAGAGCGAGGAGGGTCGTGGGTCCCATGTGTCCCTCATGGAAGGACAGGGCCTGGGAGTCTGGGCTCAGAGTTTCCAGTGTTGAATTTCCCGCCGTGGTGCAGGCTATTACTTCACTGGAGATGGGGCTTACCGAACCGAGGGTGGCTATTACCAGATCACAGGGAGGATGGACGATGTCATCAACATCAGTGGCCACCGGCTGGGGACAGCAGAGATCGAGGATGCCATGGTGAGCACAGGCCAGGCCTTCTCCTTTGCCCCACTTTTCTGTGATGCGTCTGTGGGGGTCAGCTGGGGGTGGGCATCCCTGCCCTGAGTCACCTCCAGTACCCCCGGAGCCTGCCACGTTTTGCCTTTTTGTTCTCTGTCATGCATAGGCTAACCACCCTGCAGTGCCGGAAACCGCCGTCATCGGCTACCCCCACGAAATCAAAGGAGAAGGTGAGCGTCCAAGAGAGGAGCACCTGTCTGCTTCCTGATCCCAGGCCCAGGGACAGACTCCAGAGAGCAGGCGGGATGCTGGGAATTTCTATGGGTCAAGCTGTTGGTTCTCTCAAGCGGAAATTTTGGGTAGGAGGCTGAGCAGCACATGTGTCAGGTCAGGTTTCTGAGATGCCCTGGCTCTACTAAGGACACTCACCCGCAAGTAGTCATGACCCATTTGGCACCAGCTGAGCCTGGGAGTGTCTTCCTCTGTCCAGGGTGCATCTGGCTGGGACACCGTCCAGCCCTGTTACAGAGAGTTTATAACAAAATGTCCAGCCGCACACGTGTCCTCCCTGCTCACAGGCTGGGTCATAGCACCTAAGCCGTCACACCTGCATACCAGTGTGCCCTGTGATTCCCGTTGCTCAGCGACATGCCGGGGATGCAGAACGAGTGATTGGAATGGTCTTCCTTACAATGGACACCCTTTGTTCCAAAGTCCACCAGTGTCTCACTGCTGGGTCTGGGAAAGGGCAGGAGCACCCAAGCGTTGCAATGCCAGGTCCACAGCCACCATGCTGGCCTGGCGTGACCTAGACACACTTTTTCGCTGACCCTAGGCAAGGGTGCTGCCGGGCAGCCTGGCCTCTTCTGCCCTGCTGGTGGCCTGGGGTTGGACCTACCCTTCTGCTGCCAGCAACATGGGATTGGGCCTGCCCTCCTGCTGCCAGGAACATCCTGTGTCCCAGATGTCACCTGCCGCCCTGCCATGTCTGTGCCACTATTCCATTATTTACTCAAACACTTTCTTTAAATTGACCCATTGTCAAGTTTAGAATTTAACTGCTTTAAAAACTGAATTTTCAGTTGCCCTGAAAAAGGGTGTGCCGGTGGGGCCGCCGGCCACGTAACAGGAGGCTGGGGTGTGGGAGAGCTGTTAGGGGCCAGTGTCCCTCGGGGGTGTCTGGACAAGATCAGGAGGATCCGAAGAGGGTGGACATAGGAGCAGTTCCTCACCTGTGACTGGGGATGACTTAGTGTCCCCCTGAAGGCATCTCGCACTGGGAGGAGTCTGGGCCCCTCCGTTGGGGACCTCTGTGTCTCACAGCTCTGGTCGGGTTTGGAAGCCCTGCCTGTGTCTGAGCCTGTGGCCAAGCCGGTGCCTCCTGCTCAGGGCCTGGGGCTGGGGCCTGTGACCCCAGGCATGTTTCACCCTGTCTGGGGGCTTGTCAGCCCCTGGATCAACCCCAGGAAATAAGTGCAAGATCAAGGAAGGCGCACTGGTAAGTGAACTTTAAACAGAATGCGAGGGACATCACCATGACTGTGTTCTGCAGGGCAGCCTCAGGTTGGGGTGGGGCGTGTTGGGATGTGGTCTGCTGTGGGCAGTGCTGCCCAGGATGCGCTCTGTGTGCATAGGGCTCTCTGGGGTCTCCTGAGAGGTGAGGGTGCTGACCGCAGGGCAGTGGACACCAGTGCTCCCAGAGGCCTCAGGCCGTTCCCGCTCCCGTCGGCCGCTCTCAGCAGTTCTCCCTGCAACCTAAGCAAGTCTGGTATCGCCGGGCCTCTTACCGTCTGCCAGGCTGGTGGGGAAAATTTGTCCATCATGGGTAGGATGATGTGCATTTTCCTGATTTCTAACAAATTTGAGCATCTATTCACTTGTAATTCATGAGTATCCCATTACAGTTCTCGGTTAGCCCTAAAGCTGCGTGGAAGTGCTGTTGTGCATTTGGCCGCGCTCCCTCTCTGTTCTGCGTTAGATCCGAGTAAGGGGAGCCCCTGCCTCTTGGACCCAGTGAGCCTCTGGCGCCTCTGGCCAGGCTCTGTCTTTCTTGTCTCCAACATCTGGGCCTCATGTGCCTCTCCTGGCTCTTAACCGCTCCTCCTCCCACGTGGAGGGTTTCCTCCCTCCTCTGCTCTCAGAACTCAACAGTCCAGGCCCACTTCTGATCCCATCTCAACTACCAAAGAGAGAAATGTGGTTCTTTCTCTCAGACACCCCACAGCCTGGCGAGGTGGCAGTGGGGGCACTGACAACCGTTCCCACACAGCACGTGCCATAGCTAGATTTGTAACTAGGAAAGGCTTCACAGAGTGGAAAGTGGCTGAACTGGGTTTTGAGGGATACATAGGAGTTTTCCGGGTGGACACTGGAGGGGAGAACTTTTTAGGCAAAAGCTATAGGTCTTTATAGCTTGTTCAGGAAACAATCATCCATTGATGAATTTAACAGACATTTGTTGAGCACCAACTGTGTTCCAGGCACGGTTCTAGGTGCCGGAGACACAGCAATGAGTAAAATAGACAAAAGTCCCTGCCCCCGAGGAGCTGTCGTGCTGGAGGGGTCGGGGTAGAGGGAGAGCATGACCACTGAGGAAGCTGCACCGTGTGCTAGGCAACGTGTGCCTGTGGACGGGTGAGTGAAGGTGGGTGGAACTGGTGCAGACGGACGCTCGGAGAGCTGCAGGTACGCAGAATCCGTGTGCGCTACAGGCCAGTGGGGAGGGGCCGGCGGTCAGAAATGGTGCAGGGACAAGTGACTGCTCACGTGGAGAACGATAAATGAGATCCCTGTGTCACAGCAGGACACACCATAAGCCCTTTCTGGAACACCAGGGTACTTGTGCTAAAATGTGGACCGGCCAACAGAACTCTACTCTGACACAGCAGCCGCTGGCCGCTGTGGGGTTGAGCAGCACTTGAAACGTGGCTCATGTAGCTGAGGAGCTGCAGTTTAATTTAATTTAAATAGTCGCCGTGGCTTGTGGCTACTGCCTTGGACACACGCGCCTGTGCGGCTGGTGCCCACCGGCCGCGTGTCTGTGCACTGTCTCACGTATGTCTCCTGTCAGCCCACATTTTGGGTGATTTCACAGATGAGGAAACAGGGGCAGTCTTGTGTTCAGGCCACACGTGGCCAGTCAGCACCAGAGGTGCTGTGCCAACCCCTCAACCATATCGACCACCCACCAGGGACACTTGTGGAGCTGTTAGAATTGCTTCCATTTTGCACAAAACGGAAGTGCATTTTTGGGGCTGCGGCCAAAGAAACCAGCTGCTGCAATGTCACTAACATGATTAAAAACCCTTTTCCTTTATGGCAATTTGTGCACAACACTCTGCCTTGGGAGATGCTTTGTGGTCTGACCCATCCCAAACCTCTGCTTTCCTTCCAGCTGCGTTTGCTTTCATCGTGTTAAAAGATGACACCAGCGACTCAGACACGGTGGTGAAGGAGCTGAAGTCGGCAGTAGCGACCAAGATCGCCAAGTACGCCGTGCCTGACCAGGTCCTGGTGAGTGGCCCTGCAGGTGGGACTGAGCAGCCCTCCGTAAGCCGCCTTCCCCGCCTCCCACGATTATCACATGGCAGAGATCTTTGATGGGCATATTGCTCTTTCCCCATCGACATCAAAACTGACATCAGCTGTTTGGTTTTTCCTGGGTGGCAGGTGAGGATGGGGGGTCACCATGTGTTGGAGAGAGGGGCAGAGAGGATGGGAGATGGGGCACCAAAAGCTGACACCACTGGCCTGTTTGGAAGGTGGTTCTAGGCCAGATTAGATGCTCTCATACTTTGGCACATGGAGGCTAGTTACAGGGACAGGCTGGGTGGTGCAGAAAATTAGGGATTTTAACTAGAGACACATGGGAAGTACTAGAGTTCTCTAGCCCCCATGTGGTTTCTGAGCACATTCCTGGTACCAGTGTGGGAGACCCCCAGACCCCCCTCTGAGGGTGTCAGTTCTGGGAGAGGGTTGGGCCACCATTGCAGCACCTTTGGCTTTTTTATTCCTTCCTTTGTTAACATTTCCCACAGCGAGTCCTGGGTTTGGTGGTCCTCTGAGGCAGGAGGGGCCCCAGCTTCACTTGGGATTGTACAAGTTCACACTGTTGCCTGCTGACCAGAGCTTTAGGAGACCCGCACTCCCCTTAGATGAACTGAACTATTTCAAAAGACAGAGTCACTATCAAAGATCACAGACACAGCTCTGAACCAGCGCATTGCCATTTGCACTGAATGGGCCATGGTTGGTGGAAGTGTTAAATTTGCGAACACCAAGTAAGACAAAATTTTTCTCTTAAGTTGCTCTCACCTCTTATGTAAGACAAAACCAACTAAGTCCCAGGCCAGGGGATGGAGATGAGGTGCCATGGCACGTGCTTGGACCTGTTGCTACCTGGGCACCTGCACGTGGTATAGCTGATGGGACAGGCAGAGGTGTCAGCATGGGGTGAACCTGGCGGCGCGGACCCTGGCCGACGGAAGGTTCAGCAACGTCCCTGACTCGTGGTTGGTCCTGCCCTCTGGGTTGATTCCAGCTTTAGGTCCAGATTGTAGAAGGATAAAGCCAGAGGCCACAGACCCCCACCATTCTTGGGGTGGGGCCTCCATGTCAGCCACTATGTAGTCCCCAGTGAGGGACGTCATCCTGGAGCAGAGCCGTCCCTGCCTCAGCACAGTCCACACGGGTGCCACCCCACACTAATGCTGTGTCTGTTCCTTGCCAGGTGGTGAAACGTCTTCCAAAAACCCGGTCTGGAAAAGTCATGCGGCGGCTCCTGAAGAAGATAATCACTAGTGAAGCTCAGGACCTGGGGGACACCACCACCCTGGAGGACCCGAGCGTCATCACAGAGATCCAGAGTGCCTATCAGAAGTGCAAAGACAAGCAGGCCGCCGCAAAGTAACAAGGTGCCTCCGCCTGGGCTCTCAGAGAGACTGAGCGCCATGCCCCGGCCTGTCCTTCTCAGAGGTGGCTTTGAGGTTTGGCTTCGTCCTGTGTCCCAGAAGCGCGCTGGCCCAGCAGTAACCCACACCGCCCTAATGTGAAATTGAGCCGAGAGCCCGTTCTCCCTTCCCTTGGAGACGCAGAAGCGCAGCCCATGAAGAGGCACTGCCAGCCATGGTTAGAGTTGCTCCACTTGTCCTGAATTTGGTTTCCTGGGATGAAAAGTTACGGTCATCTCCGTTTCTGTACCCTCTTGAGACAGCACAGGAAGAAGAGACACCTGGTAAAGTGCGCTGCTCAGATAACTTAGAACTAGAAGCAATCGTGTTTTCTCCAGATGTTTCTAGATGCAAATGGCAGAGATTTTATTTTTATACTTTTATATTTTAGAAGTCTAATGTGCAGGAACTCCAGTGTAACGTATGGATTGACTCATACATGGTCTTTGTAACACTTGGCGTTAGGAAAATCTCCTTTTTCGCCTCTACTGCAGGGAAACGTGTTGAGGATCAGAGAGTGCACTTTTAATTATTGTTAGAGTATTTGGAAATCTGAACTGGAGATGTTTGTGCCTCTGTCTAAACAGCTGTCTTGAGAACTTCCAGGCCTGCAGCATTCTTTCCTGGTGTCTGTTTCTCCCGTGCCTGACTCTTGTGTAATGGAGCTAACTCCTAAGTGATGGGGTGAACGTGCTCACCTTTTAGTTCTGAAGCTACTACAGTCATGTTCTGTTTCTTTAAGCTGTGATCTGGAAAGATTTTTACCCCCAGTGCCTCTTGGTGGGCAGTTAACACACTCCAGTAGGTGGGGTCGTTCAGGGAAGCCCGTGAAAACTCAGGTGACTTGCCAGAGCACAAATTTGGCTAGAACCGGGTCCTTGGAAACTCTGCCCATCCTTCATCCTGTGGTTGGGGCAGTAAGAACCATTGAGGTCCAACGATGAAACTTGGAGCTCTGAATCCAGTCTCTTTCTCTTTTTAAATGTGCCTTAAGTCCTCTGAACAAGAGGACATAAACTGTGAGGCCACCAAGTGCTTACTTCTCAGCTAAAAATGTGGGGGCTGGTGGTGTGGCCACAGGGGTAGGTGGCCCTGCAAGCTCGGTGCTTGAGGGCAGGGAGAGGCCTTCCTCCTCTCTGCTGCAGGTTACCCCACACGGCCTCGCGGCCGTGTCGGTGTTCAAGGGCTGCCTGGGGTACTGAGCACCAACTCTGGGACAGGGCTGTGCTGGCCTCTTGGGTGACCAGGTGAGTACACCTGTGACACCTGGGATGTGGCATTGGCTGCAACACGCACACATACTGAGTAGTGTTCTTTGTCATGGGCTTAACAACAAAGAGCCATGGCCCGGACTTAGCCAACTGTAGTTATGGCGCTATTTACGAAATGGCTTAGGTCCCCCAGTGCTGATAGAAACTTGAACAATGGTCCAGGGCCTCAGAACGATCTGCAGGGGAGGTCAAATAAAGCTTTATTTTGTTCATTTACTCTATTTGTGGTGATTTTTTTTTTTTGATCAAATAATAGTACTCTTTTTTGCTAAATACAATCCTAGGGACGAAACTGGAAGGGGCCTGTTCGTGAGAAAACCTGCCTTCTCGCAGGGAGGGAATGTGCACTAGCAGTTCTCAGACTGTTATTTGGTAAACTTACCTGTGTCTAGATTACTACACTGTCCAACACACTAGCCACATGTGGCCATGTAGCTATAAATTAAATTAATTTAAAAATCAGTTCCTTGGGTGCAGTGGCCACATTTCATATACTCAAGTCGCTACACATGGCCAGTGGCTACCAGACTGGACAGCACAGATAAAGGCGTTGCCAGCACCACACAGAGGTCCAGTGGACGTGCCTGTCTAGAGCCAGATAGCACGAGGCAGCAAACACCTGCTAGGTGGCCACAGGTGGTCTCAGCCCATGTGCCGGGGGAGCCCAGCCGGACCCCAGGCCGTCCTCTTCCTAGCTGTGGGCTGGTCTTTACCAGGAGAACACACTGAACTGGTGCTGCGAGAGGTGGAACCCACTCCTTCGGGGCCAGCTGCTGCCTCCAAAGTGGGATCCAGGCATGGCTGTCCCCAGGGGGCAATGTTATCTTGTTCCACTAACTTGGGTGAGCACAGGGATGAAGGGGAGGAAGGCTGGGGAACCCAGGTGCCCATCTGAGATAGATTCTGAATGCACAAAGAGCAACTCACTGGGAAAAGACACATTTTTGCAGCTCCGCATCCTGATGGAATTCACAGCAGGATTTGCTGTCTTACCAGAATTTGCTATCTTAGCTGTACACCGTTCCCCAGGGGAAGGGCATCATGACAGGGTTCCATGTGTAATTTTAACAAGTCAGGTTGTCCTGCTTCCCCTCTTCTGGGAAAGCCACCCTCATTTCTCTTGGAAACCATCCTCCCCACCTCTTGTCAGCGACCCCACCCCTGGCTGCAAGGGTGGGTGTGACGGTCCTTCCTGGCATCCTAGTCCCCAGCTTAAGTGACAGGTTCAGGCCTGGCCAAGGGACACTGTCAGGGCCACTGAGAAGCATAGAGACACCTTTGGGAAAAGGACTATGATTCTCCATCTACTGGACAAGGTAGGAGATGGCCACTGCAGGGAGGGCCTGAGAACAGAGGAGCATAGAAGAAATGGAGCCCAGAGGGGCATGCCCTGCCCCCAGGCTTCACTTTTTGCTTTTGGTTTTCTGTTGTGACCAAGACCCCCAGTAGGGCCAGAAGCAGAGAGAAGAGCAGGTAGCTACAGCCACAGTGGAGCGGGGCCATCAGACCGGATTCAGAGATGGCCTATCTGAACGCTAAGTGCCTCTCCAGGCCAGCGTGAAAGATTACATTTGTAATGACCCAAATCATGAAGGAAAATTATATTCAGATTCAAAAAGGAGCAGTACACAGTACCTTCCAACAATAAACTCCTATTAAAGTGGCTAAAACAGAAGTTGTCATACTCAAAGGGAAAATTGGGCTTTTCAGCATGATTAATTCCCAAAGGGAAATACATCACTACTAAATATTAAAATTTTAAAAAGAAATCATGGCTAATATTCATGAATTGACAGCACACATTTGTCTCAAAGCTGATGTCAAGTGTGTGTTCATCCCTGGTTCACCCACAGCAACTAATTTATGGTGAAGAAAAGGTATCCCAAATTCTCTCCCCATTTTCTCTGCCCAACTGAAGAATGGAGATTAAGTCACAGAATGTGGTGAGGTTGGCTTGAGGCCTGGGAGTCCACGTACGGCATCACCTGCCCTCAGGACACCCCACATCAGGGAACAGTGGTAGAGGCTCTCACATTTACTGAGCACCGTGCACAAAAAAGGCCCTGTGGCAGGTTCTACATTGCATGACTCCATTGCGCCCTCACGTCACCTTCTGAGGTAGACCGTGTTCTCCCCACTTCGCAGAAAAGGTGGGAAAACTGGCAGAGCCAGGATTTGGATGGAGCTTGTCTGACTGCAGAGCCTGCACCTTTGACCCCTGTGCTCAGCCACATGTCCTGCCCCTTCCTGAGAGAGCTGTTGATGAATATCGACAGCCCTTTACTTTGTAACGTAACATACTGTTGAACTTTGAATAGTTCTGTGAATTGGTTATCTTGAGTAGGGTAAATGAGAAGCCTAAATCCAGGCCAAGAGGAAGTCTTCCTGGAGACGGTGATTTTTTTTTTTTTTTTTTGGAAGGAGGTGTGACAATTTTGAGTTTTAGTGTCCTCTAATCTGAGTTACACAACTTTTCTCTTCATCATTCTTTGGGAATTTTGCTGCATAACAGGATTAAACCAAATAAATATGTCATTTCTGGGTCTATGAATACCAGATGGTTTGTATCCACGTTAGCATATGTAGGTAGAAACAAATTCTGCTATGGTCTGAAGGTTTGTGTCCCCCACCACGCCCAACATTCATATGCTGAAATCCTAACCCCCAACAGGATGGTATTAGAAGGTGGGGCCTTTGGGAGATGATTAGGTCCTGAGGGTGGAGCCCTCATGAATGGAATTAGTGCCCTTATAAAAGAACAGGAGAGAGCTTGCTTCCTCTCTCTGCTTTCCACCATGTCTGGACACAGTGAGAAGATGGCCATTCGCACTCCAGGAAGGGAGCCCTCAACAGACACTGGACTTGCCAGCACCTTGCTTTTGGACTTCCCAGCCTCCAGAATTGTGAGAAATACATTTCTGAGGTTTGAGCCACCTGTCCATGATACCTTGTTACAGCAGCACAAATTTAAAAGCTTTCCTCCTTCACAATGTACAGAGAGTGTGAAAAAAAAGAAAGGGATGCCGGACTGTCCTGCGTCATACATTCCTGACAGAATTTTGAGGACGAGCTGCCTCCCTCAAACTACATATATGGGAAGAAAAACAAAGACGCTGTGAAAAACTGTCGGGCTGTCTCCTCACCCGCTTTGATGCTTCCTTACAGTTACTCTGTGGGGCGCTCGCCAGTGCTCTCTCGGGTACCACAGAAACAATTAGCAAACAGGGCTGCCCAGGTCTTCTGGGCAAGGCTGCCTCTTTTTCCCACTTGCAGAACTCCTTTCCTGTACGTGCTTGGTATTGACGCAATACCCTTCTGCTACTCCACAAAGAAACTGCCGCAAAGCAAACAGGCTAGCTGTCTAACCTGCCCCCAGCTGACCTCTGGCAGGGCAGGTCGGGAGAGGCAATCTGCCCTTTTGGGAATGCAGGTCTGGCTTTTCTACTTGGCATTGTGACTTCTTTGGCTCATGGGTTGTTTAGAAGAATATTTTTAAAATTTCCAAACGTATAGTTTTTGTTATTTCCAGTTTTGTCAAAGGTGTTTAGCTTATTGCACTGTGGTCAGAACCTTACTCTATTATTTCCGTCCTCTGAAATCCTTTGAGTCTTGCTGTGTGACTCAGCCTATCACCAATTTTTATAATGATCTCATGCGAGATGGAAAAGAAATACACTCTGTAGTCACTGGGTAGAATGTTAGTGTGTGCATGCAATATTTATTCTATCCCTTTAATTTTGATCTTTTTATATTCTTACATTTTTTGATGTGTCTCTTTGAAACAGAATATAGTTGCACTTTGGTTTTTAAACCACTCTGGTATTTATCATTCTGCTGTATCTCTTTCCTTTCCATCTATCTTTTCCATCTCCAAGTTTCCATCTGGAATCATCTACCTACTGCATGAAAGGGTCTTTGTAATTTCCTTTAGAGCAGGTCTGCTAGTAAAAAAGAATTCATTCAGTTTTTGTCTATCTGAAAATATCTACTTCACTGTTGCTCTTGAAAGATATTTTCACTGGGTAAATAGCTCTAGCCTGCCTTTTTATTTATTTATAAGCACTTCGAAGATTTCCTTCCCAGTGGTATCTGTTTTCCCTTATTTCTGTTGAGAAGTCAGCTGTCAAACTGATGAATGGTCATTTAAAGGTAATATACCACTTTCCCTCTGGCTGCTCTTAATATTTCTCCTTGTCTTTGGTTTTTGTAATGTTATTTTTTGTAGACTTGTTTTTATCCTGCTCTGTAGATCCTAGTTCAGTAACCTTGAAGCCTACCCCTGATCATTACATCCCTGTTTAACGATCCCTGGGCACCCTATCTTTCCTCTTAGTCTATTTCTTGTTCTTCCCTGGGCCCCCAACCCGCCCATTATAATTTTGCTTATCCATGTGCACAGGCCACTTCCTGCGAGAAGTTTCTCTGGCCACTCCCACCTGATGGCACTTGCCCTCAAGGCACACTGTGGTTCTTCTGCAGAAGTGCTTTACAGTTCTCCCAGATTATAACGCCCGTGCAGGCTGGATCACCTTATTTCATCTTTGTTTTGTCACAGCACTGGGCACCTGGCAGGCTTTCAGGCCATCTCTGTGGAAAGAACTGAAGCAACATGGGATTGGAAAAAAAAGTAGTGGACTAGAAATAGAGTTTGTTTCCAGTTTTGGCTGTGAGGCACACTGTTGGCTGCCTGCCCAGCACCATGTGCCTTTTCTTTTGTGCTGGCAGAGTCCTTATTTTTTGAAGTAAATGCCTTCCATGTGGGCACTCGATGGAAGCAGGCTTCATCCAGTCCCAGGGTGGAGGGCGGGTTCTGGTTGGTCTTACCCAGTGGTGCTCAACCAGGGGTCATTTTGTCCCCCAGGGGACATTTGACAGTATCTGGAGACATTTTTGATTATCACGACCTGGTGGGATACTACAGGCAGCTAAGTGGGTGGAGGCCAGGGATGCTGCTAAAAATTCTACAATGCACAGGACAGGTGGCCCTCTACCTGCTAATGAGGAATTATCTAGTCCAAAGTGTCCATAGTGCTGAGAAACCTGATCTAACCAATCTAGTGGTCCTATTCCTCTGCCAACAGCTGGTTTTGGCATGATGAGAAAAAGATGTCGACCTGGTTGGCAGCTGGGTTGGAGGGTGGCGTGGGAGGACCAAGAACTGAAACAAAATATAACAAGCAAAGTGGACTTCAGCATGACTAGAAAACAGAAGAACTATACAAAAACCATGCTGTGCAACACAAATGACCTAAATTCAGGCCATTTTAACACCAGCTCATGCAAACCCATGTGCTTCAAGATAAGACCACCAGCAGAACTCCAGTGACTGCATGGACTCATGTTCCAGAGATAAGACCACTAGCTCCTCTAGCGACTCTTCCCATTTACAAATTCTGACTAATCCCCACCAAGATATCTATGACTAACTCCAGCCCCAAACCCCAAGAGGACCTTTCCATAACTTCCCAATTTTGAGGAGCCTCATAGCTGCTCTGGTGCATTCCTACGCTGAAGCAAGTTCTATAAATCCATCTTTTATTATTATTTTTCTTATGGATGTGTTCCTAGCTATTTTCCTTCGGTAGGCTTTAACACTGGGCATGAAATACAAATAGCTCCAATGAAATGGGCTTGGTGCTACAGTTAAGGCATGTTCAAAGTACCCTGGAAACAAAGAGGAAGATGTTCTACTTGGGAAATTGGGGGAAGGATTTTCAGCAATGACACTTGAAGTGAGTCCTGAATGATATAAATGGTTTTGGCCAAGTGGAGGGGAAGGAAAGTGTACCACAGGAAGAAGGAATCATATGGACAGAGCAGGGAGGCATGGAATTAGAAATGGCATGCAATCCTGAGTGTCTGGAATAAGGTGATGCAGGCCAAGAAGAGGGCAGATCATAGAGCACTTTGTTAATAGCTATACTGGCTGTATTCAACCACAGGGAATGAAGCAAAATGTTGCTGAGACCTGAATCTCCACAGAACTGGATTGGCATGAGAATTCTTCATTTCTCTCAAGCTGGTTCTTCAGCTCTTAGAATGAATACATAACATTCGTGTGGAATTCTAGTGCCATCTAGCACTGGAAAAAGTAATGGCACGTTTACATCAGGAAAGCCTCCAAGTGCAATAAGGAAATTAATTCTTAACACTGCATTTTGAATGAGCCTTTTCCAGAGGTGGTTCCAACTGCCACTGGTAACAGGCCTTGGTTTCCTCTGCCTGGAAATCCTCCTCACTGTCTCTCCCCCAAATTCTATTCATCTTTCAATCCCTTCATCTGTAAAATCTCTTGCAAGATCAATTTCTTTCCCTTTGAAGTAGTCATTAAAAATTTTACATTTATTTTTTATGATGATCTAAGTCATCCCTCCCATAAGTTTAATTTCCATAAGGGAGGAGCCTTGTCTGTGGTTTGCCCACCATCATCTCCCAGCGCCCGGAAGTATAGCTGGCTCACTATGATACTGTTGACGAACAAACCAATCAATGCCTGCTTTATGCTTTCCTAAGTTTTAGTTGTTATTAGTAATAATTTCTATTCATACCCCGCCTTTACTTAAAGGTAATCCTTTTACAAACTTTATCAAATGTCTGTTGTAACCTTCACAAAAAGATGTAATATTCAACATCTGGTCTTAACCAAAGGGAAACATTTTCTAATTTTCAGGTGGGCGTTACTGCATTCCAAGAGTATGAAAGTGTAAGTTTTTACGCTGTCTGTAAGAACCGAGTCTTTGCCATTTAATACACAGCGCCACCCTCTCTAACGACGAAAATGGCCAACACCTCAGTCGGGCACTGCCGACGTGCATAATGATGACTGTGGTTCCATCGTCAGAAACCAAGTGAAACCAAGGCGGTAAGCACAGGGTCTAGGCCGCTCGCGCTCCGGGCCAAGAGGCCGAGGCGGGCAAGGAACTATGCAAGCCTAGGCGCTCCCCCCGAGCCGCCTCCGAACGTGCCCCGCGCTCCGCCGACCGGCCGCAGTCGCCTCCGGGCCTGCTACTACCCGCCTCCGAGAGCCAAGCAACCCAACGCAGCGGCCGGAAGGGGCGGGGTGAGAACTGTGGATTGGCTCCTGGGCACTACGTCACTTCCGTGCACCAGGGGGCGGGGCGGGCCTGGAACCCGAGCTGGAGCTCGAGCCCGAGCCCGAGCCCGAGCCTGCGCCGCACAGTGCCGGCTGGTGGCGGCGCGCGGAGAGTACGCGTCTGCACTATGAGCGAGGCGGACGGGCTGCGGCAGCGCCGGCCCCTGCGGCCGCAGGTCGTCACGGACGATGGCCAAGCCCCGGAGGCCAAGGACGGCAGGTAGGCTGGGCCCCCAGACCCGGGCTCTGGAGCCGGGGCCGCGAGGAGCGAGGACGACCCTCCTTGACTTCAGTGCTGGCAATAGCAGTAGTAGGGTAAATGCGGTGCCAGGTGCGTTGCAACAGCCCTCCCGTTTAGTCCCCAGGCATAACTCGTTTTACAGAGGTGGAAACAGGCTCCGACGAAGCGGATGCGCCTGCCAGGTCCTTGAGGCTTCGGCTGCACCCTGCGCCCAGTCGTGGCGTTATTCCCTGGCTCTCGGGGTCCTGAGACCGCCCCGCGCCGCTCCTGCCCCTCACTCCCGCCCCAACCTCCAGAACAGTTGCTACCTTGCCTTCCTCTCGCTCTCTGCGTCCCTCCGCGCTGTCCTTCCTGCTGGCTCACCTGATCCCCCGGGGGGACAGCCACCTGGCCACAGCCCTGCGTCTTCCCTGTCAACCGCTCACACTTTCCTGAAGGCATGTCAGAAAAAATTCTGGGGTCCCGCCTAGTGATCCGGTGAAGAGCTGGCTTCCACACCTCCTCTTGTGCCCCTGCCCCCCACGCTGCGTGACCAGTCCTTACCGCGGTGCTCGATCGAGTGGAGAACAGAAATGACACTGTAGGAAATTTTTGTGAGAATTTAGCCTTGCAGGTTTTTCCTGATAGGGATGGAAAAACATAGGAGACCGGTTGTTGATGCCCAGTAAATCTCAGGTTTCTGGCCTTTGCATCCTCTCTCAATCATCCAGAATTTTAAGTATGCTATGTAAGTATGAGCCTTAAACTAGATTTCAGTATAAGATATTTAAATTTCACTTTTCAATTTTGTGTCTTGAGTTTTGTAACTTTGAATTTTTGGAGAGAACCAAGAGGCGCCATAAACCAAGCTCAAAGTTGTGGAACTGATTGACTTAATATGTTGATAGAAATGTTAGAAATATTTATTAGTCATCAACAGTGTGCCAAGGAGTATGGTACATACTGAATGAGAGGCAATTCTGCCCTTGACAGCCTGAATTTATTCATGAATGGTAATAAGAGGAACACATTTGAAGGAGAGCAATAGCCGAGAGGAGTATTTAGGCTCTAGAAAGGCAATTTGGAGAGAAGATTTTGTGGTAGTAGTTGACTCCCCTGGCCAGTGGAAAGATCAGGAAGATGCTGCCATATATCCTGATGGTAGGATGACCAACCATCCTGGGTTGCCCTGGACTCAAGTTTCCAAGGATGCAGGACTTTCAGTGCTAAGCCAGGGCAGACCAGGACAAGTTGTTCATCCTACTTGCTGTGGATATTATGAATTAGTCATCTGCTGATGACTGAGAAGCCTTTTAGAATGGACTTGCAGAGACTGGCAACACTTTACTACAGAAACTATGAAAACAATGCACTTTTACATGAGAAATGGAAGAGCTGCTGGCCTGAGTTTATCTTGAGGTGCAGTGTGTTGAAAACCTGGGCACACAGCACCTGAGGGCACTTTAAGTTAGAGGGTCCCAGCTCTCAGGTCCGCTGCTCTGACACTCCTGGCTCTAGGGCAGAGTGGCAAACTTAATTAAATTGTTTGTTCTGGTTCTCTGTGGGGATTTCTTCCTTAATGACAAAGTAAATGGGATTTTCCAAAGTCATCTTCTGCTGCCTGATCTTTTCCAGTGTGCCTTTAATATTTGTATTTAGATATTTTCTTTACTTTCTTGTCCATGAACATTGTTCTTATTTGCCTATGTTTCCGTCTTTCTCTTCTTGTTTGTTGATCATCTTGTTTACTTAAAAAGTTCAGGGTTTAATATAAGTCAGGAAAGTGTTGTGTACAGTGGATGAAGTAAAGGACTCTGAAGGAGGTAGAAACATGAAACTGTTAGAACAAACTTTAGACACACTAAACACGGGATACAGGCAGCCTTGAAAGACATACTATTAAATTAATAGAAGAAGGACAATAGATTTTAGCAGCAGAAGGGACATCTAGCAATACTTTGGCTGGTCTCCTGACTCTTGGCATGAAAGGGGTGTTAGCTCTGTTTTAGTGATGAGATCATTGAGGTCTATGTAGGTGAGATGGTTTATATTGTATAGAGTAAAAGATGAAAATGAATGAAGGATAGAACTGGCAGCTGGACAATGATTAAGAAGCATATTTTTAAAATTATGCTTTGGAAATAAGATTTTATGCCAAAGCTCTTGAATTTCTGTATTTGAGCTGTAATGGAGAATTTGGTTGTTAAATCCTTTTATTCAACATGGAACATGGATGAACTAAGCACTTTAGCATACTATTGCAAGCTAATAATTATGATTTAGCATCAATTTCCCAAAATGCTTTAGAAACTTTATTGAAAGAATAATTGTGCACTGTGAAACTGTTCCTTCCCTTTTGGTGCACAGTTCTGTCTAGGAGGAGAGCTGTTTAATGTGCATATGTAACTGTTTAGGAGTGAAGAGTGCATATATTGAGGATTTATTGTATTTTAATGCATTACATTCTGTATAATTCTGCTTTTTCAATAAACTTCTGAAGGATTTTAGGCTAATTAAAAGTCTCTGCTGGGTCAGTTTTGCTTTTTTCTCTTCACGATTGAAGGGTAAGGGAGGCAGTGTGGAGAAACAGATGGGGCATTCAGAAATTCACGAACTCATGAGGAGTCAGGAATCTGGAGTTTCTGTCTTGGCTCTGCCCTGGGTATGTGTTTTCAAATAGCTCTTTTAACAGGTTCTTAATTCCTTAATTTTTTTCAAGGATAAAATGATAAGTCTAGGAGCTCCAGCTTAAAGAAATGTACAAAACGAACAAATTCAAGGTGCAGTCACTTAAAAGACAGGATTTGTTGCTGTTTGGCTTTCTCAGGTAGGGATCACCTTGACCCCCGAGGTTGCTGGTCTATCATGGATTTGGGGCTAACAGGTTTTCCACAAAAATCACAGGTCATTTTTGATCTCTTGGAGTGTGTCTGTCAGGACTTCAGTCGAAGATTCAAGAATGTGATGTCCTGTGTGCAGAAGGAGTTAGAGAATACCCTTCAGATTTGGCTGGTGAAATCACAGGAGTTTGTAAATCATGGGTAGCTCAACAGTAATTATCAAATCCTGTTGCAGCACTGAAGTTGCCTCTTGCCCTTAAAGACCGTGGGAAATTTCAGGGTGCAGATGTCCTCACAGAGGCGAGCATTCCTCCAACTCTTCTGAGAAATTGGGGTAAACAAATTGATTTCTCAAACTGCACCTGGGAAGTAAGTCACCAGCCTTCCTGGATGTGTCAGCACAGGATGGGAATGTGCAGCACTTTGTCAGTGAAAATGGATAGGGTAAATGCAGTGTCCTTTATTTAAGTTAAAATAACATGGGTGGGCAGAGGCAGAGGGAGGCAAACATGGAGAAAGGGCAGAGGAATTATACCTGACTGAGTTTGCAGGAACCGACAAGGAGCAGGGCCTGTCAAAAAGTTAACGAACCTTGAAGTAAGTGTGGTGCCCAGAACAGGGCTGTAAGCCATGCTGGCCTCATTTATATAATAAGCTAGCTCCATTTCAAGTACTCAAGAGCCACATGTGGCTAGTGGCTGCTGTATTTCCATCATTGTAGAAAGTGCTATTGGACAGCACTGCTTAAGGAGCTTTTAGTTTAAGCCACCCTTTCTAAGACTTGACAACAGAACTTTCCAGTAGAGGCTGGATGATGATCAAGTTGGGGTGGGGAGGTGTTGGTGGACTGTCACTGGGGAGGGAGTTGGATAAGGTTAGTGGTGTCCACCTGTACCTCTGGAGCAACTGACGAAAATAAAAAAGGGTTCCCAAGCCCGCCCTGGAACTGCCAAACCAGAATCTCCGGGCCTTGTTTAAAGCTGCTTAGATCATCTTGTAGCAGTCCAGGGGCCGGCTGCCTTTGGGAGCACTGGACTGGGGATCCTCTAAATTCTTCTCCAGCGTTTTATGCTCTATATCAGTGAGAGGGTGTTACTGCTAAGTGCCCAGCAAGGATGGACGATGTGGGACACAGGTCATGGTCCCGGGACTTTTAGCCACCTTTTCTAACTGTAAGCACCATTGCTTTCAGTCCTGGCTGGATTTTTTGTTTTGGACATAATTAAGTCTTTACCATTGTGTGAAGGGACAACCAGATATTTAAGCAGGATGTCACAAGCCCTGAATCAGGTTACCAAGTCGAGATTTTAGACATGTAAGCTGCAGCGTGGTACAGGAGAGTTAACAATATAGGAGTCGGACAAATAAGAAGAATCTGTTTTAGGTAGAATTGTGTTAGGCAAGGAAAAGACAAAGCAGCACTTTGGTTAGAGTGTCACTGTCTTTTGTTAATGACAGCCACAAGTGAAGGAGAACATGGTGCAGCTACCCCAGGGGGACTGCTCCTCTACTGGGGGTGATTACATCAGCTTCCTTGAAAGGACAGAAACATCCTTGTTGCACTCTGTACTGTAATGTCCTGTGGTCAGCGCTTGCTGCCAACAGTAGGCACCTTTGAATGTATTTTGTCTCTCTTTGGGATTCTGTTTTTAGAAGAATCACACTATCAAAAACGTTTCATTTCTGTCATTGGTACTTTTAACCAGCCCTGCTTTTTTGTAGAGGTGCTTTGTTATTTCCGTTGTATGGGAAGACTTTAGGCCACTTAAAGAAAATCACTTGAGTTAAAGAGTCCCAGCCTCTAGAGTGGCTGCATAGTGCAGTCATCGATTTTGATTTTTTTAAACATCTTTATTGAGATGTAATTCACATGCCATAAAATTCACCCATTTAAAATATTCAATTCAATGGTTTCAAGTATAATCATGGAGTTTTGCAACAAGTATCTTACATTTTAGAACATTTTTATCACTGTTAACTTTTTTTTTTAAGTTGAGGTGAAATTCACATAACATAAAAATTAGCCATTCTGAAGCGGGTATTCAGGGATATTTTGTGTTTTCACAATGTTGAGCAACCACCAGCTTTCTCTAGTTTCAAAACTTTTTCATTACCCCATACAGACACTTTGTACTCAGTAAGTACTCACTCCCATCCACCCTGCCCCCAAATGTCCATCAACAGATGAGTAGACAAATTGTGGTATATCCAAAATCAACCAACAAAAGGAACAATGTACTGATACATACTGCAACTTGGATGCACCTGGAAAACGTTATGCTGAGTGAAAGAAGCCAGCCAAGAGAGGTCACATATAGTGTGATTCCATTTGCATGAAATATCTACAATAGGCAAATTACTATGAATATTTACAGAGATTTTCCAAACCCTGACTCTGAGGGCTCTAGGTCTGGGCGTCCTCTACCCTCCTCTCATCTTTGGCAGGCAGTGCTGCCGGTAGTGACTGCAGGCGTGGAGTCAGATGTGGCTCTCAGTAGTGTTCTTCCAGCTCCTGCAGTGGCTGTGGGGAAGCCACTTGAGCCTTCCCTTGCCTACTTTCCTCGTTCTTGAAGCACAAGATACCTAGTTCCACTTGGTCACCCACGTAAAGCACATTGTGTGGCACATTCTTTGTGTGTTTTTGCCATTCCTCTTTTATTGGCCCTCCCACCTTTCCCTGCTGCAGGCCTCTCTGGGTGCATTAGTCTGCTGTCGTGTCGGGTCACAGTTGGTCTGTGCTTTTAGGCATTTTCATACCTGTGGTTCTTAGACCCCTGACTGGCATAAGTCAGTCACATTAGAAGAGTTATTTGGCCCTGGGGTTTGCAGACGGGACTGGGAGGGAGAGTTGACCCGACTTTTCCCTTCTTGGCTGCTTGTCCTCTTCCAGGCCTGTCCCCAATTGGGTCTGCAGCATTTTGCTCGGGTTTGTGGAGCCAGACCACTTCCTTTCACACCTAAGAAAACGGGTAAAGACTGATGACTTGGCATTTTACCTGGCCTAGGTGGTAGATGGGCTCTGAATCCTGTGTGAGCGAAGAGAAAGAATTTAAGGACAAAGTTCATTTTTAGAAGGTTATCAGAAGGAAAATAGACACAGAATTCTCATCAGCAAAGCTAAAATGCCAAAAGGAGAAAGAAGTGGTTTGCACTGTCCCCCTGTGTGTCCTGCTGTGGAGGAGGAAGCAGCAGAAGAACCTAGGCTGCGCTTTCAGCACTCTGCGTGGAAATGTCCTCAGCCAAGTGTCCAGTTTCAGCGTTTGCAAGTTCTACTTTCCACATAACCGCAGGACACAATTTGGCCACGCTTTCTACCTCTGTATTACCAAGATCGGCCCTCCTCCAGTTTGTAATAACACGCTCCTGCCATGCTTCAAAGTCCTCCCCAGCAGCGCCTTTGATGTCCACGTTTCTGCTCACAGTCTGTTCATGACGAGTTAGGAATTCTCTGAGATAATGTGTTATTTCTACCATGCTCCTCACTTCCTTCTGAGACCTCATTAGCAGCCTTTAACGCCCATGTTGCTACTTAATACTAACAGTGTTCAAGGAAGTCTAGGCTTTTTCTGTCCTTTTCCTCAGAATTCTTCCATTGTTCACCCACAGGCTGATTCCAAAGCTGCTAACACATTTTTATATATTTGTTACAGCAGGACCCCACTTCCAGGTGCTGGAAATTAGTTTAATTAGAAAACTATTAATTTTCTATGGCTGCCATAACAAATTACCACACAATTATTGGTATAAACAACACAAATTTATTATCTCATCCTTCTGTAGATCAGAAGTCTTGGACAGGTCTCACCATGCTAAAATCAAGGTGCCACCAAGGCTGTGCTTCTTAAGGCTCTGGGGACAGTCTGTTTCCTGCCTGCTCAGTTGGTGGCAGAATCTAGCTGCTCCTGGGTCCTCTGTCCCGTGTATCTGCAGGGGCCCTTTGTGAAAGCCACTCCTTTTTCTCTCCCTTTGTCTTTCATTCCCACCTACCCCAGTAGAAACAGAAGGATGTATTTTATTTTCTGCTTTATTCATTTATTAAAATCATGCACATTCAGAACTGGGCAGGTTGTTGAGGTTACCCTGCCCGACACCCGTTTCACATGGGGAACCTGTGGGCTTTTGCAGTGAAGAAACTGGCCTGCAGTTGCGTGGCTGGTTGTTGGGAAAGAGGGCCAGCACCCAGGCCTCCACGTCCCACACTGTTCCAGGGACAGAGTTAAACACGTTTAAATCGCAGAGGATTATCCTTCTGTCACAAATCAAACACCGCCCTTAAGTCTGTCAGTTGAGTGTGAGTCTGAGTTTTTTTCCTTAAGTCAACACTTTAATGTTTTTCATGGAAAAAAATCTGTAGCTTAGGAGCTCGTGATTTTATTTGCTTTAAGTTAATCATAATATTAAGTGTTTAATATTTGAATGCAATTTATGTAAGCAAATAATGATCCTGTGAGGTTTATTTAATAGCAAGAGGCTAAATGTTATTAGTTTTTCACCAGATGAGAAATAATGTATGTGAGGATTGGTTCAGAGATATTTTAGTCACTACTGGTCATTGGTCCAAAAACTTCATCCAAGATTCCCAAAGCAGCTTTCAGATGTTCCCAAAGCTTTAGGAGTGATGACTTGGAGTTTAATTCTATAGATTCTATGTGGATAACTGTCAGTATCTGTCAGACTTCTTCCACTGGGTGGAAGAGCTGGGGTTTACTTTTAAATTCTTAAAGGTGGGATCTGAAAAGTGGGGAATTGGATGCTCAGAAAGTTGTTCTGCTTTCATTTGCTTCATGAATTTCTCTCTCTTTTATCCTAAGATTCTTAGGGACACATAGTACTGAGTGTTGCTGTTTTGAATCCACGCACCAGGAAATTGTGGCTTTGAGAAACACCTGCTTGTGTGTATCCTTTACGTCATTGGAACTCTTTTCTCCCATTATTTTTTGTGTTCAGTTCTTTGAGTTTTCCTTCTTTAAATCTCTGCTAGAGGTTTCAAGATCTGGAACTGGTCAGCATATCCCACACACTGGAAAGCTGGAAGATTTAAAAAAAAAAAAAAGGGGACAAAGGCATGTTTGCTAATCCTAGCAAACAGTGCTAAACGTTAATCACAGGCCACGAGGTTGGCCACCTTGAAGTTGGGGAACTGATGAGAGCCTTGCTCCTGTGAAAGGGCTTTCAGAGCAGCTGAGCCTGTCGCCGTCTTGAGTCTCAGCTGATTTCTTTTGTATGTTTTATTTTTGGCAGCTCCTTTAGTGGCACAGTTTTCCGAGTGACCTTCTTGATGCTGGCTGTTTCCCTCACCGTTCCCCTGCTTGGAGCCATGATGTTGCTGGATTCTCCTATAGATCCTCAGCCTCTCAGGTGAGCTGCCCTGGCAGTCCTTGGGAGGGGTCACTTGGTGAAATATAATAGGCTTAAATATTTTCTAGGAAAAGGAGTGTGATTAAATCAGTGTGATCTGAAAGGTTAGTTATGAGACACAGAGCTTTGTGATTTCTTTAGTACCTGAGTTTTTGTGTTGAATTAGATGTTACTCAGAGTTTATGCATGATGTTTTCCCTGTCATTGTTTCAAAAACTTCACAAACTGGCTGGACGTGGTGGCTCATGCCTATAAATCCTAGCACTCTGGGAGGCCGAGGGAGGAGGATCATTTGAGCTCAGGAGTTCAAGACCAGCCTGAGCAAGAGCGAGACTAAAAATGCTAAAAATGTATGTGTCTACTAAAAATAGAAAAACTTAGCCAGGCATAGTGGTGTGGGCCTGTAGTCCCAGCTACTCAGGAGGCTGAGGCAGGAAGATTGCCCAAGCCCAGGAGTTTGAGGTTGCAGCAAGCTATGATCATGTCCCTATACTCTGGCTGGGGCGACAGAGTGAGACTCTGTCACAACAAAACGCCCTCAAAATAAAAAAAAAGAAGCCAAAAAGTGCACAAACCAAAACAAAAATACGGAACAAGAGAAGCTTATGTATTAGAGGTAGTTAACCTTAAATCATTTGAATTGGCAAAAGCATGCACAAATGGAGGTTAAGTTACCTTGTTTAAATTTTCTAAGCAACTGACTTAAAAAAAAATCCTCTAATTACTCTTTTTGCTTAGTTACCTTTCACTGGTAGAGAGCTATAAGTAATGCAGTCCATTTTAACTTGAAAAAAGTAGTATATCCCTAGGGGCCCCATAAAATATATTCATGTTTGCAATTATAGTAATACAGAGCCAGGTTCCTGTTGGTGTGATGATTTATGACTTCAGTGTTACGCTGGTTGCAGGAGGGTTGTGCAGTCTGCCTTAGCAAGTCCCTGCTTGCCCTTGAAACTGCTGATGGCAGTGAAGCTGTCTGAAGTTTATTTTAAGTGAGTTAATCCATGTGAGGCCTTAAAAACTTCAGACAAGATCCATGTTTAATTAGAGTGAATACAACATATAGAACTGAATAATGTGTTGGTGTTTTATAAAAAATTAAGACTTTATATTGGATTCAGTTCACTAAAGATGTATTCAGCACCTAGTATGCGTAAGGCAGGTATGCAGCTGGATACAGAGCTATAAGAGGACACAGTTCTGACCTTAGGTTGACATATGGATACAAAAGTCACCTTTTTGTTGTTGGATTAGAATTAGTAGAGGCATAAGGTACTGTACAAACATGCTTAGTACACATAAAATTGAGAATGGGTGAGGCCTGGGGACTCTGGTCAGTTGTAAGAGCATTGGCTCTGGAATTCCTGGTGTGCCAGAGGGTCCTCAGATGCATCTTTCTGCCTGAGCTAGGCCTGAGGACATCCTGCGGGAGGGACCTCTCCCTTGCCAACCTTTCTCAACATGGAGAAGGATGTCTCTGTCCACCCCAAGTAGAAACTGACCTGGGCCTTCTTGGACAATCCAGATGGCAACGGCAAGAGAGTGATGGCGTCCACAGCTGCGGATCAGAAACTGGGGTTGGGGGCCAGCCCAGGGAAAGGGGGGAAGTAGAAAGCGGTGAAGATTGAGTCTTGAGTTGGAGAGAGGGGATGGAGCTTCAGTGGGTAGAAACCTTTGATCCCAGGAAAGGTGAGTTTATGTATGGGAAGAGTGGTGAAGAAATGCAGTGGGAAGAGGGGCGTGTAGCCCTGGCCAGACGCTGAAGCATGGCCCACTGAGGCACTGAGCTCACACAAAGCAGGGTCTGTCTGTGGAGCAGATGAGCCTGAGGAAGAAGGAAGGAGGAAGGAAACCATTGCGGCCGACAGGGGTCTGTCTCATGGGCTCCACTTTGGGAATGACATGCTCAAAAATGGGAAGATGGGCCCCAAAATGCAGAGCAAAAGCAGAAGACTGGCAGTCAACAGTGATAAGCGAGTCTCACACACGTGTGCACGGCCAGGACCCAGCCCCGAAGCCCTGACTTGGCAGCTGCCTTCCCAGTCCACAGCCCACAGTCACTTTGGGAGTAGATGGACGTGGTTTCCATCCAGAAAGGAACAAAAAAGATTATTTTTCTTAGAAGGGTATAGATGTTTCCAGTCATTTTTAAGAACATATTTATCAGTTAAAGTAAAATTTAATAGAAACAATACAGTAGTATTTTGGAGAATGGATTTTTTCTCTGTAATTTTCAAGTCTGACAAGAAGAGTAACTCTGCTAGCAGTTGAATGTTGCTACAGTACTGTCAGACGTACACATTTTACTGCCAGGGTGAAACAGTAAAACTCAAAGATAACAAATAAAAAATAGCAGCCATCTTTATGGGTGGTCAGGGAGATCACGAGCAAATAGAAGCACAGTAAACGACACTCAGGCTGGAGCCACGGGAGACTGGCAGAGGGAGAAGAGAAACAGCATCCCCCGTGCCCTGACCTCCTGTGGTAGAGAGAGAGATGTGGTGCCTCGGAGAGCTGGTTCTCCAAAGTGCTTAGGAAATCCTTTGTGCGGTCCAGACCATTTCTGGGCCCACAAGTGGTTTACTTCACTGTGGTTGAGAATCAGTGAATTGACGCAGGAGTTTGTGCATCTGTGCCAGCCACCCGTGACCAGCTGACACCTTGCCATTCTGCTCACGTCTCACCACTTTGTCAAATGCATGCTGAGAGGCACCGTCTTCCCCCTCTGGAAATTACGGTGTTTCATCCGGTATGTCTATGACAGTCCTCTAATCTTGCAGAAAGGAAAAGGAAGGCAGCTTTGTGGGGCAGGGTTTTGGCAAAGCCCTGCCACCTTCCTGGTGACCTTTCTTCCTAAATACTGAAACCAACTGCATGATAATCCAGACTGGAAAAGCTGCCGCCCCTCTGCCCTGCCACATTCCTGGTCTGTCCTCTGATTTCTCGGAGACTGAGTGTGGCCTCAGCTCCCCCAGGAGGTCGTTTAACACCCTGCATATAGGCCCCCAAATGCACTTCCACCAGCTGAATACCCCTCCTGCCCCGCCTGCTGGCCTGACCCTGTTTACTATCTCGACCCCACACTGCCCAGTTTCTAGAGATGACCCAGGCAGAGGAGAAGTCGGTAGCTCTGCTTTTGTGAGTACAGCACCTCTTGCTGCCTCTTGATCTTTTTGCTCTGAACAGAGCTTTAAAGTAGGCCTTTTTACTGTTGTCAGTGGCATTTTCCCCAAACCTCATTCCTATTCTTGGGCTCTCTGCCTTGCTAGAGAGCAGGGTGGGGAGGGTATTGGCAGGTACTACCCCTCCCTCTCTTCTCTCCTGGCAGTGTTCATTGGGAGCCTTCTGTGTGCCAGGTTGGGTACCAGGTGCTTGGGATACAGCAAAGAAAAATACAGAAGTCTCTGATCTCCCAAGTGTGTGTTCTAGTGGGGATAGACAGTCAATAAGCATAACTGAAGTAAATTATATAGTACGTGAGAAGCTGGTGAGTGCTGTGAAGAACGTAGAGCAGCAGGAGGACTGGGTTTGGGGGAGGTGTCCAGTGTTCAGTTGGTGGCCACAGCAGGCCTGCTGAGGAGGTGAGGGTGGAGCAAAGAGGACTGGTGAGGGGGTCAGTGCTCCAGGCAGAGCAGAGAGCCAGTGAGAAGGGCCTGAGGTGGGCCCAGACCCAGCAGGGAGGGGCCGGTGTCAGGGGGCACCAAGGGCAGGAGGAGGAGAGGAGGGAGAGGTGGTGGGACTGGACTACGAGGGGCCAGGGGGCCAGTGCAGGGACTTGGGCTCCAGTTGAGATGGGGCTGCTGCAGGGCTCTGAGCAGACAAAGGCCCTGATTTGACTTGGGCAGCTGGATTGAGAATAGACTGAAGGGGACAAGGGAGGAAACAGGGGAGAGAAGATGGTGGCCCAGGCCAGGGTGGTAGAGAGGACATGGTGAGAAGGGGATTGTTCAGTGACGTCTGTCATTTAAAAGTGGCCTCAGCAGAATTTGCTGCTGGGCTGCGAGACATGACGTGTTTGCATGTGGATGGGAAAGACGAGAAGGGAGGGGAGAGTTACTGGAGCCAAGGCTGTGGGATGGGGAGGGCCCGCGGCCCAGTGGGGGTCATCAGGGAGAGCCTGGTGGGCCCTGCGGGGTGTCAGGGGGCATGTGTGCCTGTACTGGACCACGGGGCGGTGGCTCTGGTACCAGGACAGTCTCCTCTTGTTCTTTCCATCGTCTCTGAAGCAGGAGGCCAGGCCGTCAGGTGTGAAATGTGCGCTCTAGCTGGCTGTGTAAGTCACAGGGGTGAGGGGGCCAAACTGTCCTGAGGCCCTGGACAGTGGCAAGGATCTGGGGTGGTGAGGGGTGCTCTCAGGTGACAGGGCTGCCAAGGCCCTATGTTAGCCACATTTATATTTCATATTTATTTTGTACTTTGACCTTCTCTGATGTCCTAGAACAGTGTTTTCTTAACCTTTGTCCTTCTGGCAACTGAGGATGTTTTTGGAATATGCCCTCTAAAAAAGAATAGGGAGTTATGCATGTAGTTGGTCCTCAGTAAGCATTTTCTTCGTGTATATTTTTATAGACAAATCCCTATAATTGCATTATTTTGCAGCTTCAAAGAACCCCCCCTGTTGCATGGTGTTCTGCATCCAAATACGAAGTTGCGACAGGCAGAGAGGCTATTTGAAAATCAACTTATTGGGCCGGAGTCCATAGCACATATTGGGGGTAAGTAAACTCCTGGGGCTGCGTGGTCAGAGTTGGGGGACTTCAGGCTGTCTGTTGCTGGAGAGGGCTGGGGAGCAGCTGCCGGGGGTGGTTCTGCGGGTCCTTAGCGATGTCATACCCCAGACATCCCATGGGAGTGGCCCAGCAGGAGTGGTTCTTTCCGCTGGTGTCATCTGTCTGATCCAGGCCATTTTCGTACTGGGTAATTTTGAGTTCATCTCTTTGAACTCTATGGAGCACTTTATTGTGCTCAAAGTGTTGTGAAGGGAAAAAGGCAAGATGCAGACACTGATGTTTAATTCACTTATCAAAGTTAGGTGCGTATTACTTGACAGCATATATAAAGCTCAGTTTGTATAGATTTCATTTTGAAATGAAGACAAATGATTCTCAATACTTCCACTGTTTTGTTTGTTTGTTTTAAAGCTCACTTTGATGGGTACACTTAAGGGTAACCATCCGCGTCACACTTGCCCAAGTCTGAGAGCTAGAAATGGGTCTGGTTCTGATACTTGCATCTGTATCTCTAGCAATTGGAACGTGGCATTTTCTGTCTGTGAAAATGAGAATTAAGCTTAGTATTGAAAACACACAGTTAATGAAAAGATTTACAAACTTAAACTGTTGTGAGGATTTCTGAGCAGCTTATTTGGAAATGCTGCTTGCCATTCTGAAATACATTGTGTCATCTGGGCAGTGGCTGTGGACAGGTACACCCAGTGTGCTGCTCTTCCAGGGGTGTTCCACTAGCTTCTCTTGCCCAGCCCTTGCTGTTTGATATGGGCTCCAAAGACAGGCCCATTTCTGCAGATTTTTTTTTTTTTTTTTTTTGTGGCTAGCAAAGTCAAAGTTGTTTCAAGAAGAATAAGTACTTCATGATAAAACTACTTCTTTTCTTTTAAGACATTGACATTTATTAGTAAATTTCATTAATTTTTTTTGGTGAAACATCAAATATTGCTATTTAAAACTAGAACTGAATAGAAATTGAAGTACAAAGCAGCGGTTTTTTCTTACTTCTCAAAGAGAGTGCTTTTCCTGTCTTCTCCCTTTCCACTGGGGTTGCTTCTCATTGTACTTTGTTACCAGGTCCTGCCTTTTTTCTCTCTCCACATTGAGGAGCTGGTTTACTTGGTGACATTTCTGGCCAGGCATAGTGGGGACCTCTCTGGTTATACCCTGTGGGTTTGAACCACAGGGAGGCACCCAGGGACCTGCTGTTAAGTCATCCAGGGGGCTGGCTGGAAGGTTGCTGCCAGTGATACCCTCAGCTAGCCTCAGGGGAGTGTTGGGGGAGAGTGATCACCAATTATCAGGCTTTATTTTATTTGTTTTTAAGTACACTTTATTTTAAAGAGCAGTTTTAAATTCACAGCAAAATTGGGTAGCAAGTAGAGATTTTCTGAAGAAGAGTTTATCAGCAGTCCCCCACCAGACTGTTACATTTGTTGCAATTGATGAACCCGTATTAACACATCATTAATTACCCAGAGTATATAGTTAACATTAGGATTCACTCTTAGTGTTGTATATTCTATGGGTTTAGACAAATGTATAATGACATGTATCTACTGTGATAGTATCATATAGAGTATTTTCACTACCTTAAGTCCTCTGTGCTCTGACTATTCATCTCTCCATCCCGATTTAACCTCTAGCAATCACTGATATATTTTATTTTATTTTTTTTTTTGAGACGGTCTCATTCTGTTGCCTGGGCTAGAGTGTAGCAGTGTCATCATAGCTGACTGCAACCTCAAACTCCTGGGCTCAAGCAATCCTCCTGCTTCAGCCTCCTGAGTAGCTGAGACTACAGGTGCATGCCACCACACCTGGCTAATTTTTGTATTTTTTGTAGAGACAGGGATCTTGCTGTGTTGCTCAGGCTGGTCTCAAACTCCTGGCTTCAAGTGATCCTTTGCATTTGGCTTCCCAAAGTGCTGGGATTACAGGTGTGAGCCACTGCATCTAGCCCCACTGATCTTTTTACTATCTCCATAGGTTTGCCTTTTCCAGAATGTCGTGTAGTTGGAATCATACAGCATGTAGTCTTTTCAGAATGATTTATTTCACTTAGTAATATGCATTTAAGTTTACTTACTCCGTGTTTTCTCATGGCTTAATAGTTCATTTCTCTCATCCAAGTACTAACTGGGCCCCGCCTTGCTTAGCTTCCGAGATCAGACAAGATTGGGCATGTTCAGGGTGGTATGGCTATAGACAATAGCTCATTTCTTTTTAGCACTGTATAATTGTATGGATTGTGTGGCTGCACCACAGTTTATTTTTGCATTCACCTACTGAAGAACATCTTGGCTATTTCCAAGTTTTGGCAGTTATGAGTAAGGCTGCTCAGAACATCTGTGTGCAGGTTTTTGTGTGGACACAGTTTTTAACTCATTTGAATAAATACCAAGAAGCATGATTGCTGGATCATAAGGTAAGAGTAAGTTTAGTTTTGTGAGAAACTGCCAAAGTGTCTTCCAAAGTGGCTGGACCATTTTGCATTCGCACTAACAACGAATGAGAGTTCCTGATACCCCACGTCCTCTCTAGTAGTTTTGTTGTCAATGTTTTGGATTTTGGCCATTCTAATAGGTGTGTAGTGGTATCTCATTGTTTTTTTAGTTTGTATTTCTCTGATGACATATGATAATGCACATCTTTATGCTTTCTTGCCATCTGCATATCTTCTTTAGTGAGGTGTTTTAGTCAGATATTTTGCCCGTTTTGTAATTGGGTTGTTCATTTTCTTATTGTTGAGTTGTAAGAATTCTTTGTATATTTTGGATAACAGTTCTTTACCAGACAAATATTTTTGGAAATATTTGCAAATGTTTTCTCCCACTCTGGCTTGTCTTCTGATTCTCTTGACAGTGTCTTTTGCAGAACAAAAGTTTTTAATTTTAATGAAGTCCATTTTATTAATTATTTCTTCATGGATCCTGCCTTTGGTGTTCTAGCTAAAAAGTCATTATGATACCCAAGGTCATCTAGGTGTTCTCCTATATTATCATCCAGGAATTTTTATAGTTTTGCATTTTACATTTATGGCTGTCATCCATTTTGAGTTAATTTTTGTGAAGGATATGAGGTCTGTGAAGGGTATAAGATTCATTTTTTGTCATGTGGATGTCCATTTTTTCCAGCACCATTTATGGAAAACACTGTATTTTCTTTATTGTATTGCCTTTGCTTCTTTGTCAAGATCAGTTGACTGTATTTGTGCAAGTCTATTTCTGGGCTATTTATTCTGTTCCATTAATCCATTTGTCAGTTCATTTGCTAATGCCACATTTTCTTGAGAACAGTAGCTTTATAGAGAGTCTTGAAGTTGAGTAATGTCAGACTTTATTCTTCTTCAATATTGTATTGGCTATTTTGGGTCTTTTGCTTCTCCATATAAACTTTAGAATCAGTTTGTTGATATCCACAAAATAGCTTGCTGGGATTTTGATTGGGATTGTATTGAATCTATAGAACAAGTTGGGAAGAGCTTACATCGTGACATTATTGAGTCTTCCTATCCATGAATGTGGAATATCTCCCCATTTATTTAGTTCTTCGATTTCTTTCATCATAGTTGTGTAATTTTCTTCATACAGAGCTTGTGCATATTTTGTTTATACCTAAGTACGTCATTCTTTTGGGTTTTAATGTAAATAGTATTGTGTTTTAATTTTAAATTCTACTTCTTTATTGCTAGTATAATATAGGAAAGTGATTGAATTTTGTATATTAGCCTTGTATCCTTCAGCCTTGCTATAATTGCTTATTAGTTCCTGGAGGTTTTTGTTCATTCATTAAAATTTTCTACATAGACAATTATGTCATTTGTGAACAAGGACAGTTTTACTTCTTCCTTCCCAATCTGTATACCTCTTATTTCCTTTTCTTGCCTTACTGCATTAGCTAGGACTTCCAGTATGATGTTGAAAAGGAGTGGTGAGAGGGGCCATCATTACCTTGTTCCTGATCTTAGCAGAAAAGCTTCTAGTTTGTCACCACTAAGTATGATTTTAGCTTTAGGTTTTTTGTATATGTTCTTTATCAAGTGAGGACATTTCCTTCTGTTCCTACCTTGTTAAGAGTTTTTACTATGAGTGGATATTGGATTTTGTCAAATGCTTTTTCTGCATCTATCGATATGATCATATGGTTATTCTTTTTTAGACTGTAAATGTGATGAATTACATTAATTGATTTTTGGTTGTTGAACCAGCCTTGCATACCTGGGATAAATCTCACTTAATCATGGTGTGTAATTTCTTTTATAGATGGCTGGATTTGATTTGCTAATATTTTGTTGAAGAGTTTTGCATCTGTGTTTATGAGAGATACTGGTCTGTAGTTTTCTTATAATATCTTTGTCTGATTTTGGTATTAGTGTAATGCTGGCCTCAGGAAATAATTCTCTCTGCTTCTGTCTTCTAAAAGAGATTTTAGAGAATTGGTTATAATTTCTTAAATTTTTGGTAGAATTGACCAGTGAACCCATCTAGGAGTAATGCTCTCTGTTTTGGAAGGTTGTTAATTATTAATTCAGTTTCTTTAATAGATATAGTGCTATTCATATTGTCCATTTCTTCTTATATAGTTTTTGGAGATTTTTGTATTTCAAAGAATTGGTCCATTTCATCTCAGTTGTCAATCTGTGGGCATTGTTCATCATATTCCTTTATTATCCTTTTACTGTCCTTGGGTCGTAGTGATGGCCCCTCTTTCATTTCTGAAGTTAGTAATTTGTATCTTCTCTTTTTCTTAGCCTGCCTAGAGGTTTATTAAGTTTTTTGGTCTTTTTAAAGAACGAACTTTTGGTGTCATTGATTTTTCACTATTGATTTTGTTTTCAACTTCATTGATTTTTTTTTCACTAATTTTTAAAAATTTATTTTCTTCTGTTTACTTTGGGTTTGGTTTGTTCTTCTGTTTTTAGTTTCCTAATTGGAAACTTAGAGTTTTGATTTTAAATCTTTTTTCTTTTTAATATATGTACTCAGTGCTATAAATTTTCCTCTACTGCTTTCTGTGCACCCCACAGATTTTGATAGGTTGTATATTCATTTTCATTTAGTTTAAATTACTTTTAATTTCTTATGAGATTTCTTTTACTCATAATGTTATTTACAAGTATATCGTTTAATCTCCAAGAATTCTGGAATTTCCCAGCTGCCTTTTTTTTGTTTGTTTGTTTTAAGAGACCAGGTCTTGCTTTGTCACCCAGGCTGGAATGCTGTATTGTGATCACTGCTCACTGTAACCTCAAACTCCTGGGCTCAAACAGTCCTTCTGCCTGAGCCTCCTGAGTAGCTGGGACTACAGATTGTGTACCACCATGCCTGGCTAATTTTTTTGTTTTATTTTTTGTAGAGATAAGGTCTTGCTGTGTTGCCCAGGCTGATCTCAAACTCCTGGCCTCAAGCAATCTTTCTGCCTCGACATCCCAGAGGGCTGGGATTACAGGTGTGAGCTACTTACTGCACCTGGCGCCAGCTGTCTCTCTGTTACTGACTTCTAGTTTAATTTCATTGTGATCTGAGGGTAGACATTGTATGATTTCTATTCTTTAAAGTTTTTTAAGGTGTGTTTTATGGCCCAAAATGTGGTCTAGTTAGTGAATGTTCCATGTTAGCTTGAGAAGAACGTATATTCTGCTGCTGTTGGATGAGGTAGTTGATAGATGTCAGTTATATCCAGTTGGTTGATGGTGCTGTTGAGTTCAACTATGTCCTTACTGATTTCCTGCCTCCTCTGTCGATTTCTAACAGAGTGATGTTGATGTCTCCAACTATAATAGTGGATTCGATTTCCTCTTGCAATTCTGTGAATTCTTTCCTCACATATGTAGATGCACTGTTGTTAGGCACATGCATGTTAAGAATTCTTCTGTCATTTTGGAGAACTGACCCCTTTATCATTATGTAATGCCCCTCTTTATCCCTGATAACTGTCCTTGCACTTAAGTCCTGCTCTTAAGTCCTTTCTCTGTCTGAAATTAACATAGCTACTCCTGCTTTCTTTTGTTTAAGGTTAGCATGGTATAATTTCTCCACTCCTTTACTTTTAATCTATGTGTATCTTTATATTTAAAATGGGTTTCTAGTATACAGTATATAAATGGGTCTTGCTTTTTGAGCCACCTTGACAATGCCTGACTTTTAATTGGTGTATTTAGACCATTTATGTTGACGGTGATTATTGATATACTTGGTTAATATCTACCATATTTATTAGAGTTTTCTATTTTTTGCCCTTGTTCTTTGTTTTTATTTTTCTCTTTCAATCTTTTTCTGCCTTTTGTAATTTTATTTTTTATTTAAAAATTTTAAAAATTAATACATAATATATGTACATATTTTAGGGATACATGTGATATGTTGATACATTCATATAATGTGTACAGATCAAATTAGGGCAATTGGGATATCCGCCATCTTAAATATTTATCTTCTTTATGCTAGGAACATTCAAGCTATTTTGTAATGTACAATAGATTAATTGTTAACTATGGTTACCCTACTGATCTATCGAAGACTAGGTCTTATTTCTTCTATCTGACTGTATATTTGTGCCCATTAATCAACCTCTCTTCATCCTCTTCTACCCTCTACCCTTCCTGGCCTCTGGTAACCACCAGTCTACTCGCTATTTTCATGAGATCCACTTTTTAGCTCCCACTTATGAGTGAGAACATGGCAATATTTGTCTTCCTGTGCTTGGCTTACTTCATTTATCATAGTAACCTCCAGTCCATCCATGGTGCTGCAAATGACAGTATTTCATCCTTTTTTATGGCTAAATAACATTCTTTTGTGTATTTTTGCCACATTTTCTTTATCCGTTCCTCCACTTATGGGTACTCGTGTTGATTCCATTTTTTGGCTGTTGTGAATAGTGCTGCATAAACATGAGAATGCAGATATCTCTTCGATATCTTGATTTCCTTTCTTGTGAATATATATCCAGTAGTGGAATTGCTGGATCATCTGGGAGTGCTAGTTTTAGTTTTTTGAGCAACTACCGTACAATTTTCCATAGCGGCTGTACTATTAATAATTTACATTTCCACCAGCAGTGTACAAGTATTCCTCTTTCTCTAAATCCTCACCAGCACCTGTTATTCCCTGTCTTTTTGATAAAAGCCATTTTAACTGGGGTGAGATAATATTTCATTGCTGTTTTGATTTGCATTTCTCTGACGATTAGTGTTGTTGAGCATTTTTTCATATACTATTAGCCATTTGTATGTCTTCTTTTGAGAAATGTCTGTTCACATCTTTAGTCCATTCTTAAATACCTAGATATTATTAATATTTGTTTTTTTTGCTACCGAGTTACTGGGGCTCCTTACATGTTCTGATTATTAATCCCTTTTCAAGCATATAGTTTGTAAATATTTTCTCCCATTCTGTGGATTGTTTTTTCAGTTTTTTGATTGTTTCCTTTGCTGTACAGAAGCTTTTTAGCTTGATATAATCTCATTTGCCTATATTTGCTCTGGAGGTCTTACACAAAAAAAAATTTCCCCAGACCAATGTGGAATGTTTCCCCAATGTTTTCTTCTAGTAGTTTCATAGTTTCATATCTTAGATTTAAGCTTTAATCCACTTCGATTGGATTTTTGTGTATGGTGAGACGTAGGAGTCTAGTTTCATTCTTCTGCATGTGGTTATCCAGTTTTCCCAGCAGCATTTATTGAAGAAACTGTCCTTTACCTGTTGTGTGTTCTTTGTTGAGAATAAGTTGGCTGTAAGTGTGTGGATTTATATTTGGATTCTCTCTTCTGTTCTGTTGGTCTGTGTGTCTGTTTTTATGCTGGTACCATGCCGATTTGGTTACTATAGCTTTGTCATATATTTTGAAGTCAGGTAGTGTGATGCCTCCAGCTTTGTTCTTTTTGCTCAGGATTGCTTTGGCTATTTGGGGTCTTTTGTAGTTCCATATAAATTTTAACATTGTTTTTTGTTATTTCTGTGAAGAATGTCATTGGAATTTTGATAGGGATTGCATTGAATCTGTAAATTACTTTGGGTGGTATTGACATTTTAACAATATTAATTCTTCCAATCCATAAGCATGGAATAGCTTTCCATTTTTTTGTGTCTGCTTTAATTTCTTTCATCAGTGTTTTATAGTTTTCCTTGTATAGCTCTTTCACTTCTTTGGTTAAAAAATTCCTAGATATTTTTATTAGTATATTCTTTGTAGCTATTATAAATGAGATTGCTTTCTTGATGTCTTTTCAGATTGTTTGCTGTTGGTGTGTATAAATGATATTGATTTTTCTATGTTGATTTTGTAACCTGTTACTACTGAAATCGTTTATCAGTTCTAACAGTTTTTTTGGTGGAGTTTTTAGGTTTTTTTAAATATAAGATCCTGTTGTCTGTGAACAAGACTAATTTGTCTCCTTCTGTTCCTGTTTGGATGTCCTTTATTTTTTGCTCTTGCCTAATTGCTCTGGCCTTATGTAGTTTTAAATTGGGCATTTTATATGATTCCATCCTCTCTCTTTTCTTACCAGTAATACTTCTGCTTTTACGTTTTTGTAGTGGTTACCCTTGAGTTTGCAATACACATTTAAAAACTATGGAATATTTCATGAATTTGTGTATCATCCTTGCTCAAGGGCCATGCTAATTTTCTCTGTAGCATTCTAATTTTAGTATATATGCTGCTGAGGTGATCACTTAATGTGCTTTAATTTTCTCCTGAGGATTCCTAGCAGTTCTTCCCCTTTGGTTGGATATGATCAACGTCAGCAGAAGACACGGATGCTCCTGAATGCTGAGCCTCAACTGAGGGCGTCAGGGCTGGAGCAAGTCCTCGCAGCTTTTCTCACTGGCTGGCATCTGCTGCATCCTTGCCCCAGCGTCTGGGTCAGGCCCACAGGCTGACTCCCTAGGCCCTCAGTTTTACTGCTGTAGCTTTAAGGATTTTTCTAATTCCTAGATATCACTTCTCCTTCATCTTCAGAACTGCCATTTCCTCGCTGGAGAGAATCATAAGCCCCCTCAGATGCAGAAGAAGGTGGCGTGGTCACAGTTCTTAGGCTGACCTCCTCCTGCTCTTCCTGCTTTTTGTGTTTTCAAACAGATGTGATGTTTACGGGAACAGCGGACGGCCGGGTTGTAAAACTTGAAAATGGTGAAGTAGAGACCATCGCGCGGTTTGGTTCAGGCCCATGCAGTAAGTTGGTGACAATCCCCATGACATGTTCTCTTCCAGGTGTTCAGAAAGGTGCTCACTGGCTGTGTGGAACTGCTTTTCCCTACCAATCAGTTTCACCCTAGGAGAAAAAGGGCCCCTGCCATCCGACAGATGGAGCACAGTGTGGGTGTCGCTATGAGTTCTCCATTTGCCAGGTGGTCCCTGGGCCTCACAGTGCCTCAGTGTCACTCCGCAGCCCTGTCCCAGCTGGGCAGTGGCCGGGCACCTGCTCGGTACTTTGCAGGGCCCCTGTCACTCGCCATTGCCTCTGTCCGTGCTCACTTTCATGGTACTTCAGGGTGAGTGGGTGTGGTCAGAGTGCAGCTATAGAAAAGCAGGTGGCTTTGTCATTACTTGGTTCTATAAATATAGTTCCTTCATTGGTTTCTCAGGAATTTCAACAGTGTCATTCAGAGTGGAAACACCCTTAAGTCACTCAGATTTTGAAAAACTAGAGTAGAAGAATCTCACTGTTTAAAAACTAAGACTTCTTATTAGTTATTTTTAGTAGCTGGAATGTTTTCATAAAAATGATGTGTTCTCACTGTAAAATGCAAATAACACAAAAGTACAAAGGAAAAAGTAAAAATCACTTCAGAGTCTTCTCAGTTGTAATGGTTACTAACATTTTAGTGAATAATTTTTCAGACATTTTTCTGTTCATGGACACCCACACATTGTGGTTTTTTTTTTTTTTTTTTTTTTGAGACAGAGTCTCACTGTGTTGCCCGGACTAGAGTGCCGTGGCATCATCCTAGCTCGCAGCAACCTCAAACTCCTGGGCTCAAGCGATCCTCCCACCTCAGCCTCCCGAGTAGCTGGGACTACAGGCATGTGCCACCATGCCCGGCTAATTTTTTCTATATATTTTTAGTTGTTCAATTAATTTCTTTCTAATTTTAGTAGAGACGGGGTCTCGCTCTTGCTCAGGCTGGTCTCAAACTCCTGAGCTCAAACAATCCGCCCGCCTCGGCCTCCCAGAGAGCTAGGATTACAGGCGTGAGCCACCGCGCCCGGCCCTGTGGTTTTCTTTGAGAGGCAGGGTCTTGCTCTGTTGCCTAGGCTGGAAATGCTGGACCCTATTGCCTCCCTCCTCAGCCCCCAAAGAAGCCAGGACTATAAATGCACGCCACCATACCCGGCGAATAGTTTTTAAAATTTTTCTGTGGAGATGGGGTTTGGCTATGTTGCCCAGGCTGGTCTTGAACTCCTGGCCTCAAGCAATCCTGCCTAGGCCTCCCAAAGTGCTGGGATTACAGGCGTGAGCCACTGTGCTGGCCACGGTTTTACTTGATGGGATAATATTCTACATTCAGTTCTTTATCCTTCCTTTTTCCTCTCCATTTTGGCTGTAAGTGCCCTGCTTGAGCACCCTATAGTAAGCACTCTATAGTGAACACCCTGCAGTGAGCACCCCACAGTGGGCACCTTCAGGGGCAGTTCTACTCTAATGTCATGGTCCTTTTTGTTCTGTGCACACAATGCATGTTTTGGAAGGTATGGATGAGATAGTTGGACACTGAGGAGGGCACAGGTAGCATCTTGGACCAGCTGCTGATTCCTGTCTGTTTTCCTAGAAACCCGAGATGACGAGCCTGCTTGTGGGAGACCCCTGGGCATCCGGGCAGGGCCCAATGGGACTCTGTTTGTGGCTGATGCATACAAGGGACTGTTTGAAGTAAATCCCTGGAAACGTACGTGGCAATATCTTGTTTCCTTCTGTGATGATTTCAGATCTTAAACAATATGTGTGTAAGTTGATTTAATAGGATTTGTTAAATACAATCTGCTGGAGACTAATGTTTCTTACTAATTGAATAGTACTGAAAGCTTTGCCTACAAATATCAGCTAGTTTTTAACACCAGAAAACTCCCTACCCACGACTGTGTTTGTCCATACCCTAATTTCCTCTGGCATTTATTTGTATTTTAGCCACAGGGTCTCAAAAGGATTTATTTTGAGGATGTTAGACCTCCTCTTTCTGTCCTTATTTTTCCATGTATCTCTGTGCAGCTTGTCTTTCTGTTCATTTTCTGTCTTCTCTGTCGCCTTCTCCTTTGTCTCTGCCTTTTCATTTTCTCACTTTCTCTCCCCACTGCTCCTGTGTGTGCTTTCTCGATGGAGGGTCCTGCTGCGGAGGGCTCTGTCGTCACATGCAGTGTGTGGGGCCCGGAAGAGGCCCTGCAGCCCGACTGCTGCTGGCTGTGCACGTCATCCTCTTCTGTAAAGTAGGATGATCATAGAGCCTACCCCATGGGATTGTTTGATGGTTTAGATGAGATCATACCTGGAAAGAGCTTAGCACTCAATAAGTGTTCTACGATTAAATATTTTTAGAAACTTATTCCTGCTACTTTATTTACAAACAGATTCATGGAACATTTTATATTTCTCTCAGGCAAACAAATAGAATGAAAGCCTTTGACCTAATGCTCTTCAGAGATGTTTTAAAGTCAGTTGGCCTCAATAAAAGAAAGAGTTCCTCATTCTTACGGAAAGGGTCTGCCTTTCATGAAGTTAGTCTTAAGAAAACATTATCACTTAATAGTTAAGACTGCTTTTTACTGTAAGAAGGAATAAATCTTCTGTCATGCAACATGGAGAAGCTCATTTTAGTGTTTTCCTTTTAAATCAGTTATGCCGATTAATATTTTGAGATTATCGAGAAGGAATAGCAATCTTTTTGAATGAATGAAAGAAAGAAAGCAAATCTTTTTCTTTCTTTCTTTCTTTTTTTTTTCTTTTTTTTTTTTACTTTCAGGTGAAGTGAAACTGCTGCTTTCCTCCGAGACACCCATTGAGGGGAAGAAAATGTCCTTTGTGAATGATCTTACAATCACGCAGGATGGGCGGAAGATTTATTTCACAGATTCTAGCAGCAAATGGCAAAGGCGAGATTATCTGCTCCTGGTTATGGAGGGCACAGACGATGGGCGGTGAGTGTTTATTTCAGGTCATCCGCTCAGTTCACCAGCCAGGCAGGGCTGCTTCAGCAGAGCTTGTTGCCTTCAGGAACCGTGGGAGTGTTTCTGAGCATACTATTTCAGCTTTTGGAATAGGACTAATGGCTTCTGGAGACAAGTGTTAGATATAACAAAATGGAGCAAGATATTCTCCCTTTTTCTTTGAGGAAATAAAATAGGCCAGTCCATCTGAGGGTGTGGTTCTAGGCAGGCCTGGGTTTTGGGTCATCCCTCTGAAGGGGGACTCCACTCCCTCCTTGGTGCCACCCCAACTCCCAGGTCAGTGAGAGGACTCACTGTGGAGTGCTCTGGAAGGGGAAGGGCCCTGGGGCCTGGTCACTCCTGCATGAAGTTGAGTCACCATCCACAGAAGGGAGCAAAGCTCCAAGCCCCCCAGGAGGCCATGAGCTCTCCCCCATGTGACCCTCCGCTTTTGGCATTCCACAGCCTGCTGGAGTATGATACGGTGACCAAGGAAGTGAAAGTTTTATTGGACCAGTTGCGGTTTCCTAATGGAGTCCAGCTATCTCCTGAGGAAGACTTTGTCCTGGTGGCAGAAACGACCATGGCAAGGATACGAAGGTGTGTGATGTTGGCTGAGCTGTCAGTTGTTGGCCAGAGCTCGTCATGGCTTGGGTGGGCATGGAAATGTGACTGACAGAAATCTGAGATGCAGCAGGCACCTTTTGCTTTGTGAATTATGATAAAAGTAAAATTCAAGGATGTGTTTTCTTTCCCCCATTCCTTAGCCTACTTGAGAGTGGCAGTCTGCCACAGTGTGTTGATGTGATGCTAATTGTGCAGCCTGGGTCCCATTTCCCTGCCCTGTGGGCCTTGATCCCCCTTGACCTGCTTCTCCTCTGTTCACATGGGGCCCAGGGCTTGAGGACTTCTCAGCACTGTGCCTTCATTCATGATGGACACATTTACATTAGTTTTCATAACTATATTTGGATAAGACCAGTTTGGTGCTTGGCTAAAATTTTTCCCTTATATTGGGTGGCTACTGTTCACTGCCTGCTTGGGTGAATTTTTCAGAGTCTACGTGTCTGGCCTGATGAAGGGAGGGGCCGACCTGTTTGTGGAGAACATGCCAGGATTTCCAGACAACATCCGACCCAGCAGCTCCGGGGGATATTGGGTTGGCATGTCAACCATTCGCCCTAACCCTGGGTTTTCCATGTTGGATTTCTTATCCGAGAGACCGTATATTAAAAGAATGATTTTTAAGGTAACTATAACAGCTATAATTCCAGAAAACAAAATGAAAATGAATCATGATCTCTTCTTGACCTTTATAGCCCTAAAAATTCTGCTTATAATGTTTGGTACTTTTAATGACTACTTAAAGACACATTTCATTCTTTATTCCAAAATGCAACTTTAAACATTTGACTCCTTTGATTTTTTTTTTTCTTCTGGTTTCCCTGTTGGTGGGTATTTTTATTTTCACCCTCACCATCATAACTCCTGGGGCCTCCACCCTGCCTGTCACTTGCTTTTCTCTTTCTCCCCTGGCTGTTACAGGCCTTTTCCGCGCCCCTCTAGACTCTGCGACTTTGTTTTCTGCCGCACTTGCCGCCGCCTCCTCCTCCTCTGAGAAAGCGGTCAGCAGGTGCATTTTCCCCCCTCCCCGTGGCCGCACCTGCAGACCTGCTCACCTCGGCCTCTGTCCCACCTTCTTGGAGCCTCACTGCCAGTCGCCTTTCTTCCCAGGTTCTGCCCTTTGACCTCTTAACACACCAAACTCTTTCCTGTTAGAAATCATCCACCAACGGCCAACTATACCCCCTTCAACACAGCCTTTAAACGTTCTTCTTCCTGCCATTTTCCCAGTGATGTCCATGGAACACTCTGAATTTTAGCTCAGTGTGTTCATGCTATGGAGTAACTTGCTGAACCAGGCCCTTATATAACGCAGAAATCTTTTCCAACAAGTTCCATTTCACAGGCAGAATAGATGCCTGAAACCGATAGTGAGTATTTGAACAGATTTGAACATATTTGTAATGTAAGGTCCCGGAGGGAACAGGCAGCAGTTACTGAGCCTTCGGTGCTGGGCTGTGCGCTGGGACCACTCTGGAGGCTGCGTGTGCTTTCTCGATCAGGCTAGCCCGTGGCCTGCAGTGAGGCGAGTTCAGCAGATCTCTGTGGAGAATCCTGTCTGTTCAGAAACCTGTTCCTCCTATTTGCCTTATCGGCCACAGAGCCAGTATCTGTTCCTGCTGGGACCTAGGAGGAAGTAGGATGGTAGGGCAGGCTGAGATGGCTTTTGGAGAAGGCCAGACCTGCTGTGGGTCCCTGGGCAGATGACTTGGTCTCTCTACCTCAGTTGCTCCATCTGTAAAATGGGAAGGGTAATAGCATTTGACTAAGTGCTGAGAAAATTTAATGAGAATATGCTGCACATAGTGCCCTAGCTGTGTTTAGTAAGTGTTCAATTTCTGTGACTGTCAGTTTTCCTATGGCAAGGATGTGATTGCCACCTACTCTTTTGGTGGTCATTGTCTCTCTCCCGTTGACCAGCATGTGTGCTCATCGGGGCAGGCATTTTTGCTGTCAGTTCACTGCTTTGTCTTCAGCACCTATAGCAGGATCTAGTGCATGGTAGCACCAGGAAACACTGTTGAATGAATGAGTGATCAGAGAGCGGAGACTGAGTGTGAGAAGGAGCCAGCCGTCCCCGAGTGGTGGGACGTGGTCGCACGGGTGGGCGGGAGCCCTGCAGCAAGAGGGTGCACAGAGGGAGGTAGGAGAGGACCGCAGGCCATGTGGACTTGGAAAGGAGTTAGATTTTATTCAGAACGTTATCCAAGTCATTGCAGTTTTTTTTTTTTTTTTAAGTTTTGAGATAATATCAAAGTTACAGAGAAGTAGCAGGAAGGGTACAAGGAACCCTTTTCCCTGAGCTGATTGCAGGTAAGCAGCTGACCCCGTGCCAGAGCACTGGAGATGCTTTAGTACACTTTTCCTACAACAGGGACGTCCCCCTTCATCACCACGATCCAAGCCGGGAAAGTCACACAGATACCCCATGACCCCCTTCACGTTTCACCAGTTGTCCCAGTGTTGTCTTTGTGACAAAAGGATTCGACCGAGATCAAGTGTGGTATTTAGTTGCCGCCTCTTTATTCTCCTTCAGTCTGGAGAATGTTCAGCTCCCCAGCCTTTTTTTGACTCTTTGACCTTGATCCTTCGGAAGCTTCCAGGTCAGTTGTATTGCAGCATGTCGCTCCATCGGGTTTGTCTGGTGTCTTCTCGTGACCGGATTCGGGTTCTGTGCTGCTGGTGGGAGCAGCACGGCAGTGAAGCTGTGTCCTTGCCTGGCGCAGCTGTCAGGAGGTGCGTGAAGTCCGTCGCCCCATTACCAGTGGTGGCAGCTTTGATCACCTGACTCAGGTGGGGAAGGCCAGCCTTCTCCACTGGGAAGTCACTCTTTCCGTTTGTAATTAATGGGTGTTTTGTGAGGAGGTACTTGACTACTAATTATCGGTGCCATCAAATGGTTTCCCATTTGATCAGTGGTTATTATGTTACTGTTAGTATTTATTCTGATGCTCAGATTGTCCACCTGTGGCTAGTGGGAGCCCTTTGAGTGTGGCTCCTGGATGTTTGGACAGGTCCCTGTCATTCTGGGACTAGTTCCTTGTTTTCTGGTACACAAGTTGTTGCAGGCTCCGCTTGCAATTTCCCAGCCCCAGCTCTGGAATTGGCTGTTTCTCCAAGGAGCCCTGTTTCCTTCTAGGGAGATCTGGGTGCTAAGGGTACTCACTGCTTTTGGGTGTTGCTGGCCCAGGCTCCTGAAGGGACAGTGCTAGGGAATGCACACATGCAGCACAGACTCATGCTTACCTGCACACACACGCCACACACATGCTCACGCCTACATCTATCCTCTGTTTGAAGTGAAACGCATAAATTCAGGCTGATATCTTCAGTTCCACTTTAACACCACAGGATTTATTCTAGTTTTCTCCCGTATTTCTCCCCATATTTGTACCTTTCTTTTCTAGCAGTGAGAAATTTGGACCCCACTATCCTTCATGTGTTTACCTATTTAATCAGTTCCCCAAGTGTAGCCAGTCTGTAGCTATTGCCCCCGCTGCAGGGCCCCTGCTAGCACCTCACGCTGGGCTGTCCTCTTCTTCCCTGACCACGTGTAGGAGCTGTCCCTGGGTGAATGGCCTCCTCACCCTCTCGGCTCTGACAGCCTGGTCTGGGCCACTGTGGTCTCCACATCTGTACACGCCCACCTGCCCTGCTCAGCCCTACGAGTGGCTTCTTGACTGAATTGTTCGGGAGGGGAGTGATGTAGTATAAAGAACGTTTTAGAAAGATAACTGCAATGACTGTGTAGAGAACAGCTGTGGCAGGGCTTGGCTGGCTGTGGGAGCCTGGTGTGGAGCTGTCGTGGTGGCTGGGGAGAGGTGATGGGGGCACACAGATGGCAAGACTGGGGTGACTGGGCCTATAGGGCACAGAGGGACAGAGTCAAGCAAGGGCGAGGGCTGGGTTCCCGGCCCTGTCTCCTGAGTGGGGTAGTCTGTCGAATTTGAAGTGCCGTTAGAAAGTCCAGGCGGATGTGGGTCCCAGGCAGTGAGGGATTTAGCACTGAGGGTTGGAAACAGAGGTGGAGATTGGAGAGCTCTCTGGGAAGTGACTAGTTGAAATCACGAGAGAGAGAGAGAGAGAGAGAGAGAGAGAGAGAGAGAGTGAGAGAATGAGATCTCTTAGAGATAAGATAGAGGAGGGAGGAGAGCAGAAGGATCTACAACTAAACAGCAGGCGGGGGCATTTCATGGGTTGTGGGAAGCCTTAGTAATTTGTTGAGCTGTAATGCAACTTTAGGTTGCAACCCATCTGGGTTCTCTGCTTAAAATTCTTCAGCGGCCACGGAGTCCCAGTCTGAGCCCTTTAGCTTAGCCATGCCCGGGGGCACTAGAGGTACCCTGCTCAGGTATCCCTCAGGGTCTGCATGCTGAGCTTGGAGGAAAGTGGAGGAGTTTCTGCTTTCTGTTTTAGAAGCTGTGTCACGTGCTGTGTATGGTGGCTGGAGTTTCTCATTTAACCTTCCCAGCTTTTTTTTTTTTTTTTTTTTAACGTGAACTATTCTCAACTCTCCATCATTTGCCCCTATATATTTGGAGTATGTTAAACCTAATCAGAGGACTTGTCATTCATTCCAGTTAAGGCATGGAGGTTGTGACTCAGCGTTCTGGCAGGTAGAGATTATTCTAAGCCTTGGCTTCAGTGTTGTGACTTCCTGGCATGCGATGTACGTTTCTGTGCTCAGTCAGGTCATCCAGAGATGCACTTGTGCTGCTGTCCCTGTGCTGGGGTGGCCTTGTTGGCCTGATCTGCCCAGGGGTGGGGGCAGGGAGGGCCTCAGTGCTGGGGCAGGAACTGGGTTAGTCTGGGTGCTGCCCTGTGGGGCTCCCCTGTGAGGGGTGGGGTCAGGCCGTTCCTGGATGGGGGCGCTGTGCAGTCGGGCTGTTCCCGGTGTTCTCTCAGCCAGGAGGTAAACTCGCTGCACTGTGCTTCCCTTCCAGCTGTTTAGTCAGGAGACGGTGATGAAGTTTGTGCCGCGGTATAGCCTCGTCCTGGAACTCAGCGACAGTGGCGCCTTCCGGAGAAGCCTGCACGATCCCGATGGGCTGGTGGCCACCTACATCAGCGAGGTGCACGAGCACGACGGGCACCTGTACCTGGGCTCCTTCAGGTCCCCCTTCCTCTGCAGACTCAGCCTGCAGACGGTTTAGCCAGCCCTCATGGCTGCTAAACTGCCACGCGAGCCTTACGCTCGGGCACGAGACCTGGTCCAGGAGGAGCTGTGGACACAACTGTGACGCATGTGTCCCCATGCACCTGTCAGCCCTTGGAGGTGTGGGGGAAGCTGCTGCAACCCCTGAGGATGTGCAGGCCCCGGAGGGGTAACCCTCACCTGGGCCCGACTTTGTGTTTAGAGGGAAAGAAACATAACATTCCTGCTGCCGGGAAGATAAATTCATGTAAAGCCATTTTCTCTCAAAAAAAAAAAAAGCTTCCTAAGTACAACCATTCCCTAGGACTGGGAAACCTTGTGCACTTCTAAGACTGTGCTCGGTGGACGTGGCAGCGGGTGAGCTGCCCAGGGATCTGGTGGCTGCTGGCTCTGCCCTCCCCACTCCAGTGTCTTTACTGTAAAGTGGGGCGATGCCTTTCTTTGTGGGGGGCATGGGATTGTGGAGGCCAAGACTTGGGAGCCACGTCCTCAGGGCTTGTGTGGGACTCGGGCCCTTGGTCCCTAGGCATTCCCTCCACAGTGTGTGGCGAGAGTGTGTCGGCTGCAGCGGCTCAGAGAGGACGGCGCTGGGTTTCTTTCTGTGAATCCTGCCACGCTGGAATCGGGTGATCCAGTGATTTAGTCCCTTTCACAGGGCACATTTAGCAGTGTCCTGTTGATGACCTCTGTTCTTCCCCTCCAGACCCACACATGTGAACAGTGCACGTGTTAATGTCCTACTTGCTTGAGTGTTGTAAGTTCCTGTATATTTTCACAAGTACGTCTACACACTGGTCATAATTTTGATAATAAATAATGATAAATTGATTTCTGCTGATTAACTTTTCGATGGTGTGACCTGAGAGTTTCTTCTCTGCTTTAATTATTTTGACAGTGACTGACATTTAATTCTGTCAAGTGTTGATACGCGGATTGTCTTGGCGAGGATGTTGTTTGAGGGCCAAGGAGTGCATTGACCAGCGCAGGGAGGGCAGCCACGGAGCCTTTCTGCAGCAACCACCTTTGGGAGCAGCTGGCCTGAGCCATCTGCCTTTCGTGTTGGTTTGTTCATGGGCAAGTCAATACAACACTTCTCTCCTGTTTTCCAGCCTGCAAAATGGCACTGACACCTGTCCCTTTCTTTCTTGGGTGTTTGTGACAATACACAAGAGATTGTGTCTCTGGAAATGTTCGGAGTAACTTGACAGAGACAATATCTTATATAGGTAATGATAAAATAAATCAGATAAATAGGTAATGATACAAAAACTCAAAGAGAATTGATAGCTGCGGTAAAGTTGGGACCACCTCTGTTGTGGCCCTGGCTGGCCTTTGACCCTTTTTCCCTGCCCTCCCCTTCCCTGCAGGCTTCATGCTGGGAGAAGAGTCAGGAGTCCAAAGTGGGTTAATCCTGGTTAATCTTTTGCCCCCCCTTCGGGCAGCCTCATGCGGGTAGCCACCATGGAACAGAGGCAGAGATCGACTTCTGTCTAGTTGATGCGACCCATATTGTGTCAGACGAACAACTGTCGATGTTGTTTATATAATTTATAGGAAAGAAAATTGGTAGTTATTATTAAGTGCTTTTTAATAGCAAATGCTGTGCCTTCTGTATTGGGTGTAAAGAATAATAAGGTAATCCCTAATCGTTCTGTTATAAACAATTTAAATATGCTGGGCCTGTAAGTTAACTTTTTGATTCTTTAATTGAGAACAGAAAGCTTAGTTTTAGTGCTTTTAGTGAATTTTCATCAGTGCAGAGAAGCTGGTAAATTGTTTTTCACAGTTTTCAGCAAAGGAGTCTTGATTTTGACTCAGATGTTGATTTTCTGTCTCCAAGTGTCATTTCCTGTGTTTTGTCTGGTAATTTGGCATGGTGCGGTATGAAATATAGTCATCTTACTAGGTTTAAATATGTGATATGCTTTTGCTACAAACATGAAAGGGATTTGCTCTAATGTGAATTACTAACATGTTCTTCAAAATAATGAGGTGATTGTATGCCTCTGTCATCTGTTTAAAAACTTTATCAAGATTCAGTTACTACCTTTCACAGGAGAGAGATCCCATTGTGAGATTTTTGTTATCAACATGCACTTGCAGAGTGGCCTGTAGTTTTGAAAGTTGTTGGTGTTCACTGACTGTTAATGATTCAAGGAGAAGTGGCCTCGTTGCACGGATGGGAACTGAGGCTCGGAGGGGTTAGTGACTGCCCAGAGCACAGCCCGGACTCCCGGTGACGGGACTGAGGAGTACTCGTGTGAAGCCGGGAGAACGGGAGACGGGGTGACATTCCAGCACCTGGCAGGGCACCGGCCCTGAACTGGGCTTGCACAGCAGGGTCCTCTGAGAGACCTACATCTCAGGGTGGCCGGGGTCTTGGTGTGGTCTGAAGCCTCACAGGGGGTCCCCCTGTGGGCAGTGGTGGGGACTGATGGTTTTAGGGAGCATTGAGTGGCCACAGCCTGGGCCTATCTGCAACCTGAAGAGGAGCAAAGCTGAGTGACATGTGCAGCACGTGGCCCTAGAGCTGACTCCATGAGGTCCTGTGGACAGCTAGGAGCCGTGGCGTGGCTGGGGAGAGCTCTAGAACACTCAGGCCAGGGCTCTGACAGGATTTTGACTGGTTTTGGTCAGTTTGGGACCTTGAACAAAAGCGCTGCTTTTTGGCCATAGTTCTGGCATATCTTAGAATCGTGGGAACGCAGTGTTACATTTCCTCAGTGACAGTAATGTTAGACAGTGGCACAGCCTCCCTCTGTGTCAGGGGGAAGCTGATAAATTTAGAAAACACTGGGTTGGCAGGATGGACTTCAGGCCATCGTGGACTGACACCTGCTCCATGTGCGGTGGGGGTTCCCTTTAACCTGTTCTTTGGCTCGGCCACAGGTCTCTTTGGCAGTTCCCTCCTGGCAGGGCCGAGTCTGGAGAGAGCAGCATCTCCCAGCAAAGTCGTGATGACAGGAGCAAGTGCCATGCACACGGCTAGCGTGGGCACCCTGCTCTCTGGGCAGCTGAATAGTAGTCTGCAGTGGTGTGACTGGTGGGTGCGTCTCAGGAGGGCAGAGGCACGCTGGCCACGGGCTTCCAGAAGTGAGGCTAGATGCTACTCACTGGCTCGCCAGCCTGGCTCCTGGCCTGTGTCACCAGGGCTGGTTTAGGGAAAAACATGTAATTCATGAAACAAGCTGGGAATGATGGAAGTGGTGGATGTATTTTAATACGGAAGGCTCTCCCCCTGCCCCCAGAGAGACTGTTTGCAGGAGCCTGAGGTTGGGGAGCCACACGGTCAGCTGGCATCAGGGCTGGCCAATGTGCCTTACTTATGAGATGGGAAAAATTCCTGCCCCAGTGGTGTGTTGAAAATCAGGGGTGTAAGTTAGTGTTCAGACCTGGGAGTGTTGAGATTAGGATTTGAGGCTCCCTCTCCCTCCCCAGGTGGAGCAGTGGGGGTTAGCTGGGTCTTCCTGCCTGGGGACATCCTGGCTGGGCAATGGGGGCGCTGCTGCACTTAGAGCACTGTACATGTGCATTCTCACCTGCGATGAGGCCAGGTGAGGCCTGGCCAGGTGTGGCCTTGTGCTCTGGTTGCACTTAACTGTGAATGAGACCAACTACAGGAGAGAGTGTGGGCCTCTTCTGCACCACTTCATCTCACATGCATCTGCAGGCTGCGCAGCCCTGGCCTGAGGCCTCTTTGGCTCTGCGTGTGCCACGCTGCCAAAGCCGTGGGCCTCAGAGGCAGCAGGGAGGGCTCGGGCAGGGAAGACAGCACAGCCGGAGGGCGGCCCCCTCGGGTGGGTGCTCCCTGCCCTGGTGGTTCATGATGAGGACAGGCTTGCCTGCTTCTGGCTGCTGTGGTCTTCGATTTGGTGGCCAGCAGCTAATCACTGGACAGGCCTCCCAGGGAAGTGACATAAACTCGCCAACCCCTCGGTGAGGGGGACCCCTTGCAACGCTCACCTCACCTTCCTGATTCTCCCTTTGAAAAGTAAAGCACGCTGCCGTTGCTCTGAGATGATTAGCTCTTTATTCGTCCACAAAGGGTCCAGCTGCAGACTTGCTTCCCCACCAAGGGTTGTGACAACTACTCAGACTGAGAGATTGAGCCCTACGCCCTCATGGGTGTCCTGGGACCACTGGGGATAGGGCCCTCGACTCCAATATGTCCCATCCAGCAACTTGGTCCCTTTGCTCAGACCCTGAATCTAGGTGCACAGCAGCAGTAAATGAGTTAATTTTAGAAGAAAATGCAACACAATATACTTCATCTGGCTATGAGGCGTGATCATCTGCCATCCCAGCCACTCGGTGATGGCCCTGAAGCTGACTCAGGAAGGGCCCAGGAGGGCCTGTAACGGCTGAGGGGGTCATGGCGCGGAGCTGGAGGGGAGGAGCACACACATCATGTGTTTGTCGCAGCTGCAGGCTCGCCGAAGAGGCGGCAGTCAGTGACAGTGGAGAACAGGCACCTCGTACCTCTGCAGCCAGGGGATGACCCAGACTTCAGAGTAGCAGCTCAGAGTCTGAAACAAAGAGGGGCACACCTGAGAATCCTCCTGTCACAGGCTCACTCCGGATACCTCTGCCCGGGGCCTCCCGGCCGGCATTCTCCCCCTGCCCCAGGTTTTTATTTCAACGATTTTCAAATCTACAGAAAAGTTGAAAGAGTGATTTGAGACTATATTTATCACCATTAAATTTTGCCATATTTATGTTCTCTCCCTTATATATCTCATATCATATATAGCATATATATCTCATATAATTATATATATATATCATATGTATCACATACATATAATTTCTGAGTCATTTGATAGCCTTTCTTGCTCTAACCTCACCCACCCCAAACTCAGGGGGCTTCCTCCTGGAGCTGTGCCTCGCAGAGGGAAGGGTGGTCGTCTGAGGGGGAGGACCACGCTGTCCTCTGCAGTCTCTGGCCCCCCTTCTCCGTGTCCGCAGTTGTGCAGGAGTACTGGGAGGCCTGACTTCCTCAGGAGTGAGGTTTGGAACCACGCGTCAGGAAGTGATGACAGGGGCTCTGAGAAGGCGAGAGACTCTCTGCTTTACCTGCTTCAGCGTGTGGTTGGTTTGGAAGTCGCAGTTGTCCAGATTAGGGTGCTGGTTTTTCTTGCAGGTTGTTCTGCCAATTTCCACCTCAAGCATGTATTTCAGGCCTTTCACTATCTGGAGAGAGAAAGGGACAGGGTCCTGGGTTACTTGGCACAGGTTGGAAGGAGGGCAGGCTCCCCCACTAGTAAGAGGTGCCTTAAGACTGTGGTCCCTGGGCTGAGGACTGATACCGGTCCGGTCCCTGCCTGTTAGGAACCGGGCTGCACAGCAGGAGGTGAGCGGCCGGTGAGTGAAGGAAGCTTCATCTGTATTTACAGCCGCTCCCCATCACTCACATCACTGCCTCCTGTCAGACCAGCATCAGCATCAGATTCTCATAGGAGCGCGGACCCTGCTGTAAACTGCACATACAAGGGATCGAGGGCGCAGGCTCCTTTTCAGAATCTAATGCCTGATGATCTGAGGTGGAGCTGAGGCGGTGATGTGTTTGCGCTGGGGAGCAGCTGCAAATACAGATTATCATTAGCAGAAAGGTTTGACTGCACGATAAATGTAATGCGCATGAATTATCCCAAAAGCATCCCCCCCACCCCATCTGTGGAAAAATTGTCTTCCATGAAACTGGTCCCTGGTGTGCAAAAGGTTGGGGACCACTGTCTTGAGACATATCACAGGAAGTGCCAGAGAAGAATGAGAGGAGGGAGGGAGGAGCCTCCGGGAAGGAAGTGGGCCCTGGATGGAAATCCCCCTTCTCCCCTCCAACTCCAGTCTGCTGCAGTCTGGGTGAGGCAGGCTATGTGTCGCACCCTAGGACGTTTCCTTAGGCTGTCCCCACCTCCCCGCCCCCGCCCCCAGGCCAGAGGTGAAGGCCTGCTCCCTCCCTCCTGCACCAGGGAAGCAGCCCCACACCCCCTGCTGTGTTCCACGTGCCAGTGACCTAGTTCATTCTTCTCATTTGTGGTCTTAGAGGGGTCAAAGAGAAATTCCTCAATTTTTATTCTCAGCTCCACCAAATACCAAGTGAAATAAAGTTGTCCCCAACATCACCAAGGTAGAGAGGGACAACCTCCCACCCCCCTCCTCAGGACCTTGGACACTCAGGCCCAGAGCATCGCCCTGGCCTCCTGGAGGAGGTGGCACCTGGCCACGGAAGATCCACCGCCCCAGGGCTACACATCAAACTGCCATCCACAGCACGCTTCCTCACGTAAAAACACGCTTCCTTGCGTAAAGCTGTGCTGCTCTTAAAAAGTTGGCAATTGCCAAAAAGAATAAGGAAGGTTATAAAAATCAACCCCCGTCCTGTGACCCAGGGTAGCCATGGATGCTGTTGAAGACGGTAGCCCCAGAGCAGGGCCACTTCGGCTCCCCCTCCAGGCAGCAGCCCCCGGGGGTGTGGGTGCCATCCACAGCTGTGCCCCATATCAGCAAGCAGCTGCACAGTATCCCTGTGTTTAGCAAATGGCAGAGACTGTGGGCAGCCACCTCCTGATGTCGTCTCCTCACTGTCTATATGCTGCGTCCACGCAGTGCATTCTCAGGACCCAGACGAGCAGGTCCTGGCTGTGCCCTGCCAGCGTCCCCTTGAGGAGGGAATGCCCTGGGCAGGTGTGATAGGCCACTGAGAAGGTGTGAGCACTTTGCAGGTAGGCTGGAGGCTGGGCAGGTGTGAATCAGGCAAAGGGGGTGGCCTGGGCAGAGCCCTGGGACATGAAAGAACACATCAGCAAGTCTTTTGGAGCTGTGGTGCACATGAGGGGTGAGGCCGGGCAGGAGACATGGGGGCTTGTGGGGGCAGCTCTGACTGGCAGTGCAGTGGCCCACTCCTCGGGGCAGTTTCTGTCGCCCCACTAGGGCCCTGGCCCTCCTCGCTCCCCCTGCTACTGGGCTCTGGGCCAGCGGTCTGATAGCCCAGAAGCAAGGTTTTCATAAGGAAATGGCTCAGGGCCTTTGTGCTGGGCTCTGGGTGATGCTGGCCTTGTCTGCTACTGTCAGCTCCTGGCCTGGCAAGTGTTCTAGATGGCGGAGGGGGGTCACTGCAGCTCGGCTTCCCAGGGGTGCAACCAGAACCCAGACGCTCACCTGGACCAGGGCTCTTCTGATGTGGGACTCCTTGAACAAGAACATGTCATTTGTGCAGTTGTTGAACTTTTCTACACTGCGTCTGGCCGCTTTGAGGACTCCTGGGTCATTGGTCTTTATTGGTTCAGGAAATCCTGGCTTCACACCTGAGTTAAGGTCCTGGGAGCAAAAATCTGAAAGAGAAACAAGGAACCAGACAAGAACATTTATGCTAGCAGGGCCTTTGGTCCAGGTGCCATGCGTCACACTTGGGGGTGCTCAGTCCTCCTCTCGCACCATGTGGATCCCGCCCCGTCCACCCCTCACCTGCATTCCCCTCATCTGTGTACCCCCTCACCTGTCTACCCACCCCTCACCTGCATTCCACCTCACCCGGCCACCACCCCCTCACCTGCCCACGCCTCACCTGTGTACTCCCTCACCTGTCCACCCACTCCTTACCCATCCATCTACCCTTCACCCCTACAGTGTATGAACTAAAATAAAATCTTAGGTCCCCCAGCTAACTGAACAGACACCGTCTTGGCCAATGGGACCCTAGAAAAACCTTAAAGCTGAGTTACCAGCTACGAGGAGAAGGGAGGTCAGACACGCTTCCTCACGCCCCCTCCCTTTTGGAGCTGCTCTTTGTAACACTAAGACATAATACTAAGTCATTAACAAGCCTAAGAACCTGCAAGACAAAGGTTAAACCACACCTACAGGCCATGGATTTACTTAGCAGGTCACTTGAGTCCGTGGTCTCTGTGGCTTATCTCTGATTAACACACTTCCTTAACTGAAAGCCTATTCAGCCTTTAGGCAGAGCTGCCTTTCTTTAACCAATTCCAAATTGGTTCATTTTATTTGAAGAATCTTTAAGTCCACTTATAACCTGTAGACTCTTCCCCACCCCACCTTCGAGACATTCTGCCTTTTCGGGCCAAACCAATGTCCACCTTCCCTGTATTGATTTTGGATTTTATGTGTAATTCCTGTCTCCACAAATGTATAAAACCAGATTGGAACCTGGCTGCCTTGGGTGCATCTTCTTAAGATCTCTTGAGGGCATGTTTCCCCAGGGTGAGGTCACTCACACTTGGCTCAGAATAAATGTCTTTAAATTATTTTACAGAACTTGGGGGGTTTTTGTTGACAAGTGCATTCCTTGCGCATCCCCACGGGTGCGCCACATTCGAAGCTGAGGACCAGGTGTGAGTGTGGTGCAGTGATGTCATCCCTGCCCACATGGGTAAGAAAAACTGAACACGACCCCCATGAGGGGAACCTCGCTCAGGGCAGGATGTAGCTTTAGGGCGTTAGGAGAAGTTGGGCCCAGCCTGGCCCTGAAGTGGGTGGGGCAGAGACAGTGCTGGCCGGGTCCTGCCCCAAGGGCCCCGTCCTGTCCACCCTGGTCAGAACCAGGCTCCGGGCTCAGCTCACCCCCCAATCCTGCCCCCAGGGCACCCCCAGAGGCAGCCCTTGGCTTTCGTGCCTTGTACCGCCCTGGGGTGCTTCTAGTGTAGCTTTTCTCCCCTTGGAAGGAAGGACGTGATGGCCTTCCAACTGGGGACAGGGAGGGCTGGACTTCTCTCGCCTTTCTGTGCCCTTCCTGTACCAAGGAGGCCCGTATTTGGATAAAAGATGGGGAAGCAGCACGAGGGGCTTCTTCCCGGTCAGTCCCAGGGTTAGGCAGACAGGACCCGTCCCTCCTGGGCTCCCTCCAAAGGGCCCCCTCAAGTCGGGCTCCTTGTTTGCTCCCTCCCGGCGCTTGCCAAGCCCTCCTGGAGCCTCCTGGTCCTGCAGCTCCCTCACCTTCCACAGGTAAGCAAGAAAACAGCAGGGTGTGGGGGGCGCGGGGCCATCCTAGGGACAGTCCCAGGGCCCCTGAGCCCCAGCAGCCAGAGCGGGGCCTGAGGGAGAAGAGCCAAGAGAGGGCCGGGTGGGGTGGGCTGCGGGCTTTGGATTTTATTAAGAAGAAAATATCAGTATAAACAGGCCCCACAGGCTCCCTACAGCAACAAGTGAATGGCGGCCTTTTCTGGCTGGCAGGTCATCAGTGATTCGAATTTGGGTTTCTCCATATTTTTCAATTTTTCTACAATAGTTATGGACTATTTTTGTGTTAAAATAATAAGTTAAAAGTTGTGGAGGAAATTCTAAATAAATTGAGGGGAGGAGAATGGGGAAGAGGGGTTTTAGGTTTGTAAACTGCTTCCCTTGTTAAGAAGTTTCCAGATTGTCCCAAGGTATTACTGTGGTGGAGATCACTAGGGCTGAGCTGTCCCACAAGGCAGGCTCTCGCCAATGTAGTGATTTTTTTTTACATTAACTAGATTAAATTAAATATAAAACTCAGTTCTCAGTGGCACAAGCTGCATTTCCAGTACCCAGGAGCTGCACATGCCGGAGGCTACTTGGCCGGTGCAGATTAGAACATTCCATCCTCGGCTCAGCATCCCTTGGCTGTGTCCTGTCCGGAGCGCCCCAGGTGAGTGCACGGGCAGGCCCTGGGCCTCCACGTTCAGTCATTCAGTCCGGGAAGGTGGGTTTAGCAGCAGGAAGTGGAGACCCGGCTGAGGGTAGCAGCAGCGCTAACCAGATAAGCTTCCGGGCTCGGTGATGACCTGTGGTCACCCCCTCCTCCTCACCCAAACTAAATCTGGCTGAGGCTGGAGGGACCCAGATGTATTTGGGTTTTAGACACGCAGCTGCTGGAGAAGATAATGCTCGCAAGGGATGTGGACTTTCAGGGGAGTTGAGACACAGGATGGTTCCCTGGGTTATGAAGAAATCGAAACTTTAGGGAGAAAAACACCAGCATGAATTCAACAGCACAGGAGCTTTCATAGCTTCATTGCTGGGCGCAGATCTGGGGTGTCCCACTGTATACGAGGTGCCCCCCATGGGGATGAGCAGATAGATGGTTGTGAGGCCCAATAGAAGGGAGCCAGGGAAATGTCTTTGCCCTTGAACTGGGGGCTGGGAATTAGGGCTGGTGGGCTGGCCAGGCTGGGACCTGGAAGACGGTCAAATCTGAGTATTTGAGCCTGGCAGGAGGGTGTCTGTGTGCCTGTTACAGCACGGCTGGCAAAGCTGGGCCCGAGGACCACTTGGGAGGAGAGCACTGGGGGTCAGGGAGGGGGCCGGCTTTATAGCTGGGCACCGTGGGAAGCCTTGCCTGGACGTCAGTGATCTTAGCTCAGAGTGAGAGCCCCAGAGGAGGCGCTGCTGCTGCTGCGTGCGGTCTGCAAGAGGCCCTCCCTGGAACCCAAATGCCTGGCACGGTGGGTGCACACCAGACCCCACTGGGGCAGAGAAGCAGGATGCCGTGCAGTCCCCCAAGGGGTCTTCTCTCCCTGAGCAATGGAAGGAGCCTTGGGAATGGGCAGAGAAGGTGTGGGTCTGTGGAAGTTCTGTGACCTTGGGGGTGCCCAGCTGTCTCTGGTCATCAGCTCTTTCCTGCAGGGGGGCCGCCTGGCAAATGGGTCCCCTGACTTGGCTCCCGGGAGAGAAAGTGTCATGACTAAGCCTCTGATGACTGCACGGCTGCCGGGGCTTCAGCAGCACAAGGACTCTGGCCTTTCATCCCCAAGGAAGCAGCCAGTGCCAACGCCCTGTCCCACAGGAAGTGCTGCCCACGGACTGGTCCTGCACAAGCACCCCTGGGACTCTCCTTCACTGTAATGCAGCCTTCACGACAGCCCCACCTAAACCGCTGCGGCCTTTGCTTAAGGTCTCTGAATACGGAAACAGAAACTGCTTCGGTTCCTTGAGCGCCAGGAGCTGGGTTTGGTGGGTCAGGGTGAGGCCTGGGACCTGCATTTCCCCAGGCTCCCAGGTGATTCTGACACAGGTGGTGGCTGTGGGGGATCTGCTGGAGACCTGGGGCTGTCCATGGGAACATGAGGAAGGAGGGGGGGCCCAATGCCAAAGGTGCTTGTGGATGACAGGAAGTCAAGTGTGGTTTTAGTTATAACAAAAAACTGTTTTGGAAACCAGCTTGGTTTCTGCTCGTGACTGCCTTCTAAGAAGCAGAGAGAGAACGAAGACACTTGGTGGAAGGGATGGAGTTTGTAGTGTATTTTTGCCATCAGAGATTAGTGGTTTTTTTCTTTTTTTCCTTGTGGTGGATTAGTATGGCTGTCTGTATTTTTCTTTGTAAAAATTACATTTATGGCTTTTTTCTGATTATAAACTTACCTATTTTGGGTAGGAAATTTGAAAAATACAGAAGAGTATAACAAAAAAATAAAAATCATTATCAATATCTCAAAGGTAACCACTACTAACTTTTTAAGATAAAATGTATTAAACTTAATTGTGCTTTAATTTAGCAGAATTTAAAAAATGAAGTGAAACTCAGAGGTTTCTCTGACCTTCAGATGAATGTCCTTTGCAAACATGTGACGTTAGTTCCTAAAGATTCCAAAGTTCCTTTAATTCCTAAAGATTTCAGAAAAAGATTATGAAAAATATTGAATTTGGCTCATTTTAATTTAACTACATGTTTCTTAAAATGTAGGCTACAAGTCAGTAAACCTTTGACTGTCTTATAGTTGTCTAAACAAATATTAAAAGCTCTATTTTTAATTTTTAAAAAGTTTAAAAGCCAAACTTACTTTTTGTGATTCATCAGGAGAAATTAACAGGGAAAGTCTGACCATTAAGAACAAACATCTCAAAGGGCGAATCATCTTTAGGGAAGAAAACAAAAAAACCAACTACCAAGCAGGTGAAGAGTGGATGTACCACTGGCTCTTTGAGTGCCCTGGCCCTGAAGGGGCGTGGGGGGGCCCTGGGCCTCAGCCAGGAGTCAGACCCACTATCAGAGGACCCCCCCCAGGGAAGGGGGCTGCGGGGTTTGCTGAAGTGGGGGAGCAGGTGAGTGGGCGCTGTAGTTTTCTGAGTGCCTGCTCTGCCCCGAGGGCACCTGTGGGACATTTCTTCTCACACCAGGCAGGTGTCACGGGTGTCCCCATTCTGCATGTGAGGTGACAGAGCTGGGAGGAGTACTGGGTGGCTAAACCCAGGTCCCACCCACTCTAAAGACCATGCTTCGCCCCCACCCATTCAAAAAGGGTTTCTTGGTAGGTGCTATGGGAAATGCAGGACTGCAAGACAGATTCCACGGAGCAGGAGGCCACAGCAGAGGAAGCCTGGCAGAGGCAGCGGCGAGGTGGGAGCGCGTTAGCGCGGTTCAGGAGGGGAAAACAGGAGAGCCGGAGGGATAGGGGGTGGTGGGAGCGCAGTTAAAAAGTGGCTGAAGTGACCTAGGGGAGGCTGGCGCATGCATGGGGCAGGAGCAAGGGGGATGGGTGACTCAGACGTCTACGGTGATGACCTGTGTGACGTGGGCTCAGAACACACGCACGAGCCGGCTTGTGAGAAGAAACGAAAGTCGGCGCGTAGAATTCTCCATAGGAACAGGGCACCCGGCGCGCCAGGCCCGCTCCGAAGGAAGTGGGGGCGCCGCTGATGAGCAGCTCCCATCCCTCCGCCCCCGGACGTGCTAAACTGGGCGCCAGCCCCAGGCTCCCCCACCCCACCCCCGAGGGCGGGGCGCAGAGAGGATAAATCAGCCCAGCTGCTCCTAACGCGCCAGGTGTGGGCCACGCCCCCAGAGAGGTAGGAAGCTTCCAGATGCTCCGAGGTGGAGGTGGGGCCGTAGGTGCTGAGCCTGGCACTGAGCAGGCACAACGTGCCCGACCCCGGTGCCGACCGCGGGGCGCACGGTCACAGCCAGGCGAGGGGCGACGCGCACCAGTGTTCGCGAGATGCGGAGGGCCTGGGAGAGGGCGGCCGCGCTCCCGCCCCTGGGGACACCAGGACGCTGCACAGCCCGGGCAGTGTTCCTGGGCAGTGCACGCAGCTGTCCTCGGAGCACAGCCCCTGTAGAGCTGGCACCGAGCTGCTCTGAGAAGGGGGAAATGTGGGCCCGAATCAGTCCCTCCAGCTCTGTCTGGGTGGGCACATCCTTCCCACCTCCTGCCTTTGCCAGCGCAGGACGTGTGCCAGGGAACCAGCACAGGCTGGGATCTCCGCGGGGCTCCGCTGTGTTCCAGGCCCAGCACTAAAGGACCCTCCTGGGCCATCCTCCTCTCTAAGTCCCCTCGTAGTCCTTCAGGGCCAGCATCCCTTGCTTCAGAGAATCTAGGGGTCTCTCCTCTAGAGTGGAGGGTCAGGATGGGAAGCAAAGCTTGGAGGAAACGTTCTGGAGCTTCCTGCTTAAAAATATGTTTTTTCTTAAAAATCACAAATGATACCTGATCCTGTTTCTGTTCCTGTTCCATCTCCACACCCTTCTTCAGAATCCTGACACTGACGTTGGGACTGTGACTCAAGGGCACTGTGCCATTTAAAGGCACAGCGTGTGCATGAACTTTTCATGCAAATGTCTAAGAGTTTAAATGAAACCTAGAGTCGAACAGGCCACACCAAAGCTTGGGGATGCTGTCGGTACCCGGTGTTAGTTACAATGGTCCTCAACTGTTTCCGTGCGGATTAAAGAGAATGTAAACTTCCCTCAAATTACTACCAAACACATAGGCAAATGTCTCCTAAGGGGCTGCAGAAGTAGCTGGTAAAATAACCTAGTAGCAACTTTTTGATAAACATCCTTTAATTTACTTTTCTGAAAATCGAAGATACCCTGTACACATGTCCTCTGAGGAGGGCGACAGGTTTGTGACACTGGCCACATTTCAAAGCGCTGAGCCATGTACAGACTTTGCCCTTTGGAGGGGAAGGGAGTGGGTGCAGGAGAGCTCCTGCCTCCAGTAGGGAGGGCGGCTGGGGACGCCTGCACGGCCCACCACCTTCCTCTTTCAGGAGTGATCTGGGCCTGGGGCTGGGGGAATCCCGCTTGTGAAACCATTCCAGAGAGGGGACCCTGGGTGCCAAGAGCTGTACACAGACAGTCTCTGCTGGTGCCCCTTTCTGTGTCACCTGGGGGAGTGCCCTGGTCATGGGCTGGTGCTGAGCTGGGTGCTGAGACCCCGCATCACCCCCATCTCTCAGAGCTTGCAGTCTGGAGGGCTGTGCCTGAGGGCTTGGGTGTTGGGAGGTGAATGTCAGACTCAGGGTGCTGGTGTCCTTTCTCTGCCCACCTGGAGATGAGTCACCCAAGCCCTGTGCCCTGTCTACTCTTGTCAAGTGACACCATCGTAATTCAGTGAGTCTGGGTGCTTGCCATGAGTTCCATGGGGCCACACCCACCTGACCGTGAGGGGACCCATCTTTTGAGGGTACACGTGTCTCCCTGGCACAGACAGGATGCTGGTCTCTACCAGAATCAGTCCTCAGCTGAACCCACTGGGACACACTGGAGTTTGAATGCCAGCTCTGTCTCTCACTGGCTGTGCAGGCCTGGGCAAGCTGCTTAACCTCTGAGCCCCTGTGTCCTCATCTGTAAAATGGGGATCATGATGGCACCTCACAGGTGGTGGTGAGAATATATGAGACAATACACATGAAGCCCTTGTCAATAACTGACATGCAATAGTGTAATTATTATCAAATATCATATCAAAATGCATATGGCTGCAGTGGGGGTCTCTGAGGGCAAATGGATGTTCCCCATTGGAAAAAAGAAATCTCAGCATTCAGAGGTGTGTCTATGGTCCCTGGCAGGCCCAGACCCAGCCTGCAGAAGTCCCGAGTGCTCCCTGCAGGAGGCTCTCCCACCCCTTCCTGGGGTGCAGGGAGTCTTCTTGCTGCAGGTGGTCTCTGGGTGCAGTGTGGTACCTGCTACATACAGAGAGCTAAGGACTGGCATCACCTTGCTGATGGGAGAGCAGGTAGCTCCTTGACCCCAGGGCCCCTGCCAGGCAGATGGGCCACTGCAAGCTAGGCTGGGGGTGAGGGGGGGAAGGGGGCAGAGTGTGACTCGGCAGCCCAGGGGAGCTTCCTACAAGAGATGCCAGTCAGGTTGAGAAAGAAGAAGGGCTTTTCATTTTCTGCCAAGGGCAGAGGAAGAAACCAATGTAGCAATTTCCTAGGTTCTGAGAGGCTCAAGGGGGAAAGGTGCCCTGGGGCTCAGCACCGAGGTTTCTGCTGTTTGGCACTGGGCGCAGAGAGAAGCCAGAGCCCACATGGCGCCACCCTTGGGGGCCCTGTTGCCTCGTCCCACGTTGGCCATACATACGAGGACGGTTCTGGAGTTCGTTCTCAGAGGAGCCAAGGGAGAGGCTGTAGGAGTTGGGGGTGGTGGTCCCGGTTCCCGTCTCTGTTCAAACACCAGACACAGGGCCCCCCAGCACCCTCACTGTATAGATGAGGACCTGAGGCCCTTGTTGGAGGCACCAGAAACTATGGCAGCACCCTGGCTCCAAGCCAGGGTGGGGTGTTGGGGGGGTGTCACCAGCACAGCCGAGGAAGGGCCTGCACTGGACGGAGCAAGGGGCTGAGGCCACTGCAGAGGGCCCCCCAGGCCCACTGTGTGCCTCTGTGCCAGTGCTCTCCCCGAGCCACCTCAGTTAAGCCTCTCCAAGGTCGGAGAGGGAAATGCAGTTACCGTCCCATTTCATGGATGATGGGACTGAGGCTTAGGGAGGTTCCAGGCTCCACAGCCAGTAGGTATGGCTCTGAGGTGCCCCAGCGTCCCTATGCGAGAGTGTGGACTCTGGAGCTTCCCTCCGGGGTTCAGCGACAGACAGCGAGTCTGCCGGGGAATGGAGGGAATGGATCGGGAGGGCTGTGTCCTGAATTACACACCAGCAAAGGGGCAGGCAACACTAGCAGCCTTCCAGCACTTGGGTCACAACAGTTCCCCATGTGACCCTGCACTGTCCCTGGCCCACTCTGCGAGATGAGCAGATGAACACACCATCAACAGTCAGCATGAATAACTAGATCCAGCACGTATTAAGACCTCGGGTTCCATGTCCCCTCCAGGAGATCCTTCCCCACCCCCTTTGAGAAGGAGCCACTTCTCTGGACTGAACCCCTGCCCCCGCCTTGGATGATACTATGGGGGAGGGGCACAGGAAGACAGTAGGGCTGGTGAGAGGCTGAGGAGGGGGTGGGGGGCCTCACCAGTAACTAGGAAGAGGCACAGCAGGGGGAGGCAGGGGTGGGGTGTACTGTCCCCAGCCCTCCCAGTCAACCACGCGTTAACCACGTGTTTGCTGAGCACCCACCCTGTGCCTGCTGAGGTGTGCCCCATCACTGACAGCGGAAGCTGCCCCCTCACCTCCCTATCCCCATACCCCCAAATCGCAGCACCCACCCCAAGCCAGATCTGGGAGCCTGAGGCAGTGTCTCCCAGTGTCACTGACTCCTCAGTATCCTGACTCACCATGAGGGGGTCTCTGGGGCCGTCCCCCTCTCTGGTCCTGCCTGAAAACCCTCTGCCTGGTCATGTTTGACCATACTCCAGCCGGCTTCCAAAAGAGAGAGGAGGGCAGAAACCAGCCCTGTCCAGGTTTGCTGGGCAGTGTGGGCTGTGTGACTTGAGCAGGTCACTTCAGCCCTCTGGCACCAGCTTCCTTGTTAAATGGTGGTGGCGGTCGGGGGGGGCTTCTAAGTCTCCATCAGTATGGTGGTCTGATTCCTGGTGCTGGGGAGGGCATCGCCCAGCTCCCTTCCGGTGGGGACAGGAGCTCACTGGACGTGTGACTTGGGCAAATTACCCAACCGGGCTGTGCCTCAGTTTCCCAGAGCGTAGGAATCATCCTCCGCTTCTTCCCCGCCCTCTTCCCAGCGCTGACCTTCAGGGTGCGGACAGCAAGAAGGATGTAAGTGTCTGATTGTTAGGGTCCCTGCAGCCAAGTCACAGGACAGCAATCGCCAGGAAGGAAGGACGCGCGGTTAGATAAAACCGGTTAACCGCGGGCGCATCGCGGGGGATCTTCCTTGCACCCCTCAGCCGGCAGTGCTCCGGAGCCCTGTGCCCCTCGTCGCCGCGCTGTCCCCTGGGGTCTCCAGGCCTGGGAAGTGCAGGAAGACCCGAGGCGGGGAGGACCGCAGGCGGGGAGGGAGCTCCGGCCGCCGTCGGGCAATGCCGGGAGAGCAGCTGCGGAGCGGCCAGAGCCCGGAGCTCTGCGCGCGAGGCGGCCAGGGGAGACCCCCGACTTACCTGGGGCCGGGCCCGCGGCGGTGCTCGAGACCAGGCAGCAGAGCGCGAGCAGCGCGCCGGCCCGCATGGCTGCCCCGCGGAGCGCAGCGCCGGCAGTGCGGGGCAGGGGCTGCGCGGCCGGGAGGTGCTGGGGCCGCTGCGGGAGCCCCGCCCAGCAGACCGCCCCCCGGGCCGGGCGGGGTTGGGGGGCTGCCTACTTTGGTGCTGGAAAGGGGTGATTTCTTGCTGAATCACTTTTAGCAGAAGTTCCTCACCTCCAGATCTATTCGCCACAGAGTCAACCGCTTCCTTTATAAAAGTTTCCTGGCAGCGATCACTTGCTGGGGGAGGAGGAAGCGAAATGAGACCCGTGAACAAATCTTGGCGCAATTTTTGTACCCCCGAAGCATACAGGGAAGGTATGTCGATTAAAATATTAGCAGGAATTTTCAGAAGCAGAATCACTTAATTCTCCTTCTCCAAACTATGCACCCCATGTCACCCCAAATTCCTGCGTTCTGAGTGACCCCCGGCAGGAGGCTTTGGCGGTGCAAGGGAGCATCTGCCCCGCAGCTCCTCCGGGAAGCAGGGTGCAGACGGCAGTTTCAGAAGAGGAACATCCTCAGCACAATGCTCCCAATGAATGATTTCTGCACCTGGAAATCAGACTAGCAAGGCTTGCTGATTAAGTGATTGATTACATCTCATCTTTGGCTCAAAGCCTGCAAAAGAGAGGAAAGAACCGTATGTAGCCCAGAAGTTCCAGCACCCTGGCAATGCATCAGGGGGTAGGAGTGGGGTTCTGGAGCCAGACGGCTGGAGTTGGAATCCCCCCTCTGCCTCTTAACACCTGGGTGACCTTTAGCAAGGAACAGCCTCTCCACACCTCCATTTCCCCTGAAAGGGTTGTGGTGAGGGTTTGGGGACTTCCTCTGTGTTAATGCTCAGGGCTTGGAATAGAGCAAGCGTTATGGCTTTGGCCTCATGAATCCCCTTCTGAACTGGGCAATGTAGATAGTAGGAAGGAGATGCCAGAGCCAGCCTTGCACCTCGCCATGGGAGGAGCCATGCGCATGGCCATCACCCCCAGGCCTCTTGGACATGCAGACTCTTAGTCAGAACCTTCATTTTAACACGATCCCAGGGGAAGCTCTGCACCAGGTGAGTCCTACAGGGTCATGCGGGATTTCAGGCAGTGAGATCTGTGTTTGTGGGACCTGGACAGGACACATAATCTCTCAGCGCCTTCAGAGGTTTGTTGTGAGGACTGTTGCCAGGAAACGCATTTAGCACAGTGCACGGTGGACGCTGATGTTCAGCAAAGAGTGGCTGCTATGACCACACCCATGGTTCTGCTTGTCCTGCTCTGCCAAGTCCCGGGACCTCCATTCTCTGGCTGTCACTGGCTGTAACACGAGGGCTCCAGGGTGGTGTCTCTTCTGCCAGCCTCTGTGCCCTGATCATGTGTGTCATGTCTGGGATTCACCCTGCCAGAAGGAGAGGCAAGGTGCCTTGGGTGCCCTGGCGTTGGTATCTCTGCCCTCAGCCAAACATGAGGCAAGGAGATAGGCTCCATCCTCCAGTAAGTCAGGAGGGCAGGTTGTGGTTAGTGTCGTGGGTTATTCTCACTTTCAAATGCACTGGATGAAGCTTTGAGTGGTTATGGGACTTGACCCAGTCACTGCATCTTCTCTGGGCCTTGGACCCTCTCATCTGTGAATGTGGGTGGTGGCCACTCACATTCTATGGCCTCACCCCCCAATCCCCCGGCCTGCTGGGCAAGTGAAGGCACACGGTGGCCCTCAATAAGTCACAAAATACCATAGCAGGAAGGGGCTACTGTTAAAACAACATTGTTACAGGGTTCTGGGGAGAAAGTGTGTGTGTATACATGGTATTTTGTGTGTAGATGTGTGCGAATGTGTTTATTTGTGTCTCTGTGTGTGCACATGTGTGTCCAGGAGTCTGTCTTTGTCTGAGTGTGAATGTGTATGTTTTCCAAGTGTGTATGAAAGGGGTATGTGCATGTGCATATATGCATAGTATATAAGTCTGTGTTTGTATGTTTTCATGGTTACTTTTATGTGTTTACTTGACTAGGCTATAGGGTGGCCACATATTTGGTTAAACATTATTTCTGGGTGTGTCTGTGAGGGTGTTTCTGGATGAGATTAGCACTTGAATCAGTAGACTGAGTGAAGCAGATGGCCTTCCCCAGTGTGGTTAGGCCTCATCCAATTCTTTAAAGCCCTAAATGGAAAAAGAGGCTGAGTACAAAAGTCTTCTCTCTCTCTGCCTGATGTCTTTCGGCTGAGACATAAGTTTCTCTTGCCTTTGGACTTGGACTGGAACTTATACCATGGGCTGTCCTTGTTCTCAGGTCTTCAGACTCATACTGAAGTGTACATGATCAGCTCTGCTAGGTCTAGACCTCTGAGCCACCATAATTGTGTGAGCCAATTCCTTATAATAAACGTATGTATGTTTTTAGATATTTCTATCTATCTTATCTCCTATTGATTCCATTTCTCTGGAGAATCCTGACTAATACAGATTTTGGTACCAGGAGTAGGGGTGTAATGGAACAAAATGTTAAGGATGAATTTTCTGAATTGGCTTTGGGATTTCTGGAATTGGCTCTTTAATCTGATTACATTTGCAGACTGTTAATGACTCTATTTCCAGTAGTAAAGAGAGCATGATAATCCATGGTGTGGCAATAGAGGTATGCAAAATATCTCCATCAGATTCTCCTAATCAACCAGTTGCGGGAAGCAAGTTGCTGGGTGACTAAGTATGTGATAATTTTGAACATTTTTATAAATCCAACAAAGATAATGAGGTTGGCTGGTTGCTCCTAATGTCAGTGGACAAAGTGGTGAAAGAAGAGGATGAACCGAGGGATTTGAATTTCCAGCTCAAGTGCTGCATAAATAACCTGAAAGCTGCCATGTGTGCCATGAAGGAGACTTTTATCTCCTGTAGCCACAAGGTTGAGATTTCTGAAAATCAAATGCAGAATCTGATACTTCAGTTGTGTGAATGTATAATAAGTTGAACTCTGAGCCCTGCCGGGGTCTACCGTTACAGTGAGGATTAATTGAGAAAGAATGGGGCCCTGTGAGTTGGAATGGGGACATGTGGGAAGACTCTGATGAAGCTGGGGACCCTGAGCACCTAAATTCTGATGGGTCTTCTTCGCCAGTGGAAGAGGCCTTCCCACCTTCCGTGAAAGGGGCATCCCACTCCCTGTCTGAGGGGATTAACTCTGCATTTCCTGAGAAAACGGTAATGACTTTCCCTGAGGCAGTTGCCATGCAAGACAATGCTGATGCTTGTTAGTACTGACCCCTAACAACCCCTTTTGCTTCTAGGCCTATAACTAGACTCAAGTCCCAGCAGGCCCCTAAAGGTGCAGTACAAAGTATGACCCATGGGGAGGTGTACTACACCCCAAAACAACTACTTGAGTTTTCTAATTTTTGTGAACAGGAAGGTAGGGGACGTGTGTGAAAATAGATATTGAGAGTTTTGTATAATGGTAGAAGGAACATACAGCTGGATCAGATTGAAGGTATTGATATGGGCTCACTAAGCAGAGATTCTAATTTAATGTTGTAGCTCAGAGAGTGAGAAAGGGCTCTAACAGTTTGTCTGGTATGTTGCCTGACACATGGATCAAAACGATGGCCGTAGTAAGTGACTTGGAAATGCCAGATCTGCCTTGGCTTAACACAGAGGAAGGGATTCAAAGGCCCAGAGACATGGGAATGTTTGAGTGGATTTGTCGTTTAGGACCTACTCACCCACATTGGGAGGGTCCAGAAGATATACCTTTTACCTCTACTGTGAGGGGAGCTCAGCATCTCTGAAGAGCTGTGCGCTTGCTATTCTCTGTAAGCCACATCTTGCCTTGGGAACGGCAGCCACTCAACTGGGAGACCTGAATGCAACGGGAGTAATTGGATCCTGAGGTCGCAGGGCAAAGGCAAGGTGAGTGTGGTCACTGTGATGGACAGCAGAGCCGAGGCAGCACTCAAAGCCATCCAACTCAAGAGCACCTGTGGCACCAGCTAGTTGATCAAGGTGTTCCTAGAAGTGAAATAGAATGGAAGCTCACTAAATTCTTCCTTGATCTGTATAAGCAGAAAAGTCCTAGGTAAAGAGAACAAAATTCTAACTTGTATCATAAAAGTAGAGTTGCAGTCTCTCAATCAACCCCAGACTTGAGCCAGTTTACAGACCTAGACCCCGTGAATAAAGGAGAGGCCAGGTCCCCTTGAGGAAGGACACTGGCATGGTGCCAAAAGTATATTCTGTTAATCTTTCTCCCAGCCTTCCCCAAGGGGACTTACAGCTTTTGACCAGGGTAACTAGGGAGAAAGAATAATCAGACCTTTTGGGGACTACTGGACGCTGGCTCTGAATTGACACTGTTCCAGGAGACCCGAAACATCACCGTCGCGCACCGGTCAGAGTAGGGGATTATGGAGCACAGATGATCAGAGGAGTTTAGCTCAGGCCCATCTCACAGTGGGTCCAACGGCCCCTGCACCCACCTGTGGTTGTTTCCTTGGCTCCGGAGCATGTAACTTGAGCTGGCATACTCAGCGCCTGGCAGAACCCCCACGTTGGTTCCCTGACCTGTAGAGTGAGGGCTACTATGTTAGGAAAGGTCAAGTGGAAGCCACCAGAACTGCCTGTACTGAGGAAAACAGTAAAACCAAAAGAAATACCGCATTCCAGGAGGGATGGCAAAGATCAGTGCCACCACCAAGGACTTGCGGGACGCAGGGGTGGCGATTCCCACCACCTTCTCGCTCAACTCTCCCATTTGGCCTGTGCAGAAGAGGGATCCTGAAGAACGACAGTGAGTTCTTGAAAGCTTAACCTCACGGTGACTGCAATTGCAGCTGCTGTAGCAGGTGTTTCCATTGCCTGAGGAAATTAACACATCTCCCGGTACATAGTGTACAGCTATTGATCTGGTGAATGTTTTTTTTCTTGGTATCTGCCAATAGAGATCACCAGAAGTAGTTTGCTTGCAACTGGCAAGGCCAGCAATACATCTGCACTGCCCCACCACAGGGCATAGCAGTTCTCCAGC